GTTGTTCTGTTTGGTTGTTTCTGCTTCCTTATGTTCCAAATCATTGATGTGATTCTCGGCTTCATCTACCCTACTCTTGTTTCCCTGTAAATTGTTCTTTATTTCAATGAGTGTATCTTTCGTTTCTGACTGGATCTGTTTTATGCTGCTGAGGTCCTCACTAAGCTCCTTGAGCATCCGTATAACCAGTGTTCTGAACTCCGCATCTGATACACTGCTTATCTCCAGTTCATTTAGCTCTTTTTCTGGAGTTTTGATCTATTTTTTCATTTAGGCCGTGTTTCTTTGTCTCCTCGTTTTGGCAGCCTCCCTGTGTTTGTTTCTATGTGTTGGGCAGAGCTGCTTTGACTCCCTGTCTTGGTTGTGTGGCCTAATGTAGTGGGTGTCCTGTAGGGTTCAGGGCACCGCCTCTTCTATCACCCAGGCTGGGTACCCGAGGTGCACCCTTGATGTGGGCTGAGCACACCCTCTTGTAGTTCAGCCTTCATTGCAGTTGGCAGGTCAATGGGAGGGATTTACCCAGGCCAGTCAACCGCAAGGACTGGCTGTGACCACGGACCACCGCCCTCTGCCCTCCGCGGAGGAGCCGCGGTGCAGGGGCAGGGCGGTGGTGCTCTGACGAGGTCTGTAGCTGGCCACTGGGTGCGCTGGCCCTGGGGCATCCTGGGTGGTGCAGGCCAGGGTCAGCCCCCTCCTGTGTTCTGCCCAGGGCCGCCCTGCCTGAGCTGTAAAGCGGTCGGAGATGGCTGCTGCTTGGGCTGGGCTTGGAGACTCCCAGGCGAAGCCCAGCTGTGAGTCTAGGCTGGCTGCTGCCGATGCAGGGCCTGGGGCCACTTAGCAAGAGGTATGGGGTGGGGGTGCGGGTCTGGCAGCTCGCTTCCCTGTTTGATAGTATTTAGGAAGTGGTGAAGCATTCACCAGGACGAGCCATTGATCTGGAAAAGTCAGGGATAACAGGTTGGGATGGGCTGCGGCCAGCTCAGGGCCCATGGGGTGGCTGGGCCCTCAGATGTAGTGGTGTCTTAGGCCGTTATCTCCAAGGGCTCGCCCAGCCCCCAGGCACCAGGTGCTGGCCAAGCATTTGTCAATGTGACCTAATTTAATCCCTAAGACAACCCGTGGACCCTCCTGTCCCTTCCAGCAGCAATGCCCCACTTGCTGTGTGACCCAAGGTCGCCTAACTGATCTCAGATCCTCCAGCTTACTCATCCCGGGCTGCTCTTGGGGGTTTCTCTTCTGCCTCCCCGGGGGGTGGAGAGGCGGCTCTGTGGTTCCCTGCGGCTAGAAGCATGCGTCTTTTGCCTCTTGTTCCCTTTTTCTCGGTCCTGTCTGGTTTGTCCAAAACATGTTCGCCCGCCAGTCAGAACTTGTTCTCCTTTTTGCTTGGTAACCATTTTTTAAACTGTAGCATGGTTAACCTACAGTAAAAAGCACACACCTTAAGTACTGCATATGTATGTCTGTGACCAGCCCCTTCATCGAGACACAGAAAGGTCCTTCTGACCCTCTCCCAGTTAGTGTCTCTGTCCCCAAGGCAATCACCATCCGGACCCCTATCCCTGTGGGTTAGTTCTGCCTCTTCTCGCACTTCACAGGAGTGGGGTCACACAGACTGCATGCTCCCGTGTTTAGTTCCTGTTCCCTCAGCAGCATGTCAATGCAAGAAACATCCACAACTCTAGAGAAGTTTTATGAGTCTATTTGAGCCAAACTGACAATTGTCGGGAAGCAAAATCTTGATGGATTAAGAAGATGCTCCAGAGACTGACAGTTTTACAGCTTATTTTATTCATTAGAATCCAAGGAGGAGATGGATGAGGGGCTACATGGAATTTATTGGTGGTAGGTTAGGGATGTGGGAGAAAGCAAAGCAGGGAAGGCTCCGGGGCTGGGTAAAGAGTCAGACAGGGAGACACACTTGTTTTACATTGGCGGTTACAAGGTGGTTAACAGTGACCGTTCACAGCACAGGGCGATGGGATGCGGGCAGCCGATACCCGGGCCTTCTGTGGCCTCTGCTCCGGGGCCGCGGCTGTGCCCCGAGGGGCGTGGGAAACAAGATTACAGGAGAAGGAGATAGATTACCTTCGATGAAAAAAGACAGTAGACAGGCTCACTTAAAGATTGACCTTTGTCGAGGAAGCTACGGGCTTAGAATGTGACTACCTGCCATGACCCGCTTTTACTGAGGAATTTTTCTGTCCCGGCCGTCCCGCGTGGTTGCCCTCCGTCCGAGTTTGTAAGGCCCACCCTGCGGACCTCCCCAAAACGTGTCAGGTGTCACGTGGCGCCTTTTTCCTACACAAATGTGTTTGAGATTATCCAAATTGTTGCAGTTTCATTAGCTCCTGTTTTTGTATGAATATGCCACACTGTGTTCATCCACTCACCTATTGTTGGAGATTTGAGTTGTTTTCAGTGTGGAGCGGTTATGAAGAAAGCTGTTATGATTATTTGTATACAGATCTTCTACTTGTATACAAATGTACTCATTTCCCTTGGGTAGATTCCTTGAATACATGTGTTCTCAGGTAGGAGTGGAGTTGTGGAGATAGGGCAGATCTATGTTTAACTTGATCAGAAGCTGCCAAATAATTTTGCAACATAGTTATGGTGAGTTACCCTCCCCGCCCCCACCGTTTGGGAGTTCCAGTAGCTCCCTGTCTTCGCCAGCAGAGGCGGTGTCATCTCTCCTGGCTTAGCCATTCTAAAGGGAATGTCCAGACATCTTACTGTGGTTTTCTATTTCTCTGATAAATAATGATGAGCGCATTTTCATGTATACTGGCCCTTTTGTGACGAGGTTAAGTCTTTTTGCTCATTTTTAAAGTGTGCTATTTATCTTTTGATATTCAGGGATTTTTCATATATTCTGGATATCAGTCCTCTGTCATCTAATCTATGAATATTTTCTCTTTTTGTCCTTTTACTGTTTTTAACTGTGTCATTTAATGAATTATTCTCCTTTCTGAGCGAAACTCAGCTTTAAAGAAATAGGCTTCTTTTTCCTGGTTATAACAATAACATTTTCATTAAAGACAACTTAGAAAATGAAGAATAAAGGAAATTAAAATTACTCATAATCTTACTACACAGAGATAACCATTTTTAACATTTTGGTGTGTTTCCAGCCTGCCTTTTTAAAAAATGTAACTATTCGTTTAACAGTTATTTATTGAGCACCTACTATATTTACTGAGCACCTACTATATTATATGCCAGGCTGAGGATACGAAATGGGAGAAGATGAAGTCCCCATTTCCATGGAGTTCGTTCTCTAGTGGGGCAACAGCCAACGAACATGTTGACACATAACTCTTAAGTAGGAGGAAGAGAAACGAAACCAGGCGAGGGGCGGGCGTGACGGGCTAGTGAGGGTGGTCCTGGAAGGCTGTGAGAAGAGGACCTTTTTTAAAAATTGCAGTTGTATTGTATATACAGTTTGATGTCCTTTTTTCTCCTTAACCGTACACTGCAAGCATTTTTGCATGCTAAATATTTTTCAAAAGCATGATACTCAGAGCTGTATACCTTTCCATCATACAAATTTAGCATAATTTCTTTAACCAGTTTGCTGCTGTTATGCATTATTTAGGAATCTTCCAGATTTTATATTGCTTTTTAAAGAAGATTTTACTTATTTTTTGGAGAGAGAGGAAGGGAGGGAGAAAGAGAGGGAGAAACATCAATGTGCAAGGAAAACACCCGTTGGTTGCCTCTCGCCTGCCCCCAACCCAGGGGACCTGGCCCACAACCCAGGCATGTGCCTTGACCAGGAACCACACTGGTGGCCTTTTTCGGTTTGCTGCCCAGGCTGTGTTGCTCTTTTACAGCCCTCTTCGGTTCCTCAGGGCCGTGACCCTCGCTGTGACCCTCGCCGCTGAGGCCCTGGGGTCTCCTTCTGTCATGTTATGCAAATGAACAGGAAGCTCAGTCCACGCACAGGAAGTCGGCTTCCTGCATTGAGTTGCCACTGCTGTGCAGTGCACCAGGTCAGGGTAGCATTTGTCCCCTGGGCGGAGAGGTTACTAAATCAAGGGGGCAGCGCTCACAGGCCTGTTGTGAGAGACTGGGCAGTCTGGCCACACCGCCTGAGCCATGGTGTCCTTGTCCCAGAACCACAGGTCTCACTCCGGCCGGTTTTTTTTGTTTTATTTTTTGCCCCCAGAATCCTAGTAACAGTGATGTGAAAATGACACTGAAATGCTCTAACCTCTTAGAAAGTTACACTGTATCCATAGAATGGTTTGTGGCATAGCCACTGATTGATGCCATCATTGTAGAGCCATTGGCTCAGAAAGATGTGGACAATACATCGTTAAGTGACAACAGTTGGCTTACAAAACAGTAAGGGGAGTATCAGATTTTTAAAAAATATGTATTTACTTATTTAAAAATTGTGGAATGAAAAGCAAAGGCTAAATGGGTGGGAGGATTAAGATGGTTTATATTTTGACTTATAGTATTTTTAGCTTTTAAAAAAATTTTATAGTTTTTTAAGAGAGAGATCGATTTGTTGTTCTGCTTTTTGATGCATTCATTGGCTCCTTCCCATGTGTGCCCTGACCAGGGATCAAACTCACAACCTTGGCGTATTGGGATGATGCGCTAACCAGCTGAGTTACCCAGCCGGGGCTAATATTTTTAGCTTTATTGAAATATAATCGACATATAATAAAACTGTACATACTCTAAATGGTACACCTGAATAAGTCTTGACATATATACACATCCATGAAACCATCATCTTACCTATATTTTAAAATTCTTCTAAAGATATATTGCGGGTTTTGTTTTTGTTTTACTTTTTAAAAAAGGGGTGGGGGGAAGGACATCACCCACTGAACAGGCTGAACCAGAAGGAAAGCGCCCTCTCCCAGACAGCTAGGCTGCGGCAGGCAGGCCCGGGCCCTTCCCTGGACCCTGCGTGGAGAGGAGGAGGAGGAGGGGCGCGGGGAGGCCAGGCCGGAGGCGCCCAGGCTTACCTTGCTCTCCCCCAGGCGGCCTCTGCAACCTGTGCTCAGACAAGGCCAACAAGGAGCACATCCTGCAGACGGGCGGTGTCCCGCTCATCATCAGCTGCCTGTCCAGTCCCAACGAGGAGACTGTGCTCTCCGCCGTCACCACGCTCATGTACCTGAGCTCCCCGGGCCCCGGCTGCCACCCTGAGCTGACCGCACTGCCCGTGGTCCAGTGCATGCTGCGCTTCTCTCTCTCTGCCAACACGAGGCTCCGGAACCTGGCCCAGATCTTCCTGGAAGACTTCTGCTCCCCAGGCCAGGTGGCCGAAGCCCGCCGCCAGCCGGCTCACTCTGCCCTGGGCATCCCCCTGCCACGGGCCGAGGCCTCACAGCAGTCCTAATGCAAGTCCTCAAGGCCGTGGTGCCCTCGTTGCCAGAGACAAGATCGAAATCCTGGTGGGGCCTAGGGAGCACGTTCTCCCCAAATGGTGCCTTTGCAGCCATGTAACAGGTGAGTTTTCTCAGCGTGACAGGTATCACACTGTGATGCAAGGCATTGGGAGATGAGCTGAGAAAGACAGACGCTGAGACACGTGAGAAGTCAAAGGCAGTGCCAATCTCTTAAGCTGGCATTCTCAGCCGAGGGAAGGCGACGGCCCTGCCTCCAGACACGCCACACTGCCAGGCTTCTCACCCTCATGAGGGAGCAGCAGCCAGCTCCCTCGACCCAGAAGCTGTTGCCGAAGGCGGTTCTCTTGTGAGCAGCTGGGCTGGGCTTAGGAGCACTGCCCGAGCCAGAGGAAGGAGGCATGACCCCTTACCCGGAGCGTCTGGGGCACTTCTGAGAAACAGGAATGAGAAGCCGCGGCGCTCGGCCAGGGGCACGTGTGGCTCCCCGGGGAAGCGGCGGAGAAAGGACCGTAGGAGGCCAGCCTCAAAGTCGGCTAGCACGCCGTCCATGTCCACCAGCACCCGCACAGGCCGCGCGTGCCGCACCACCGTCGCCATTGCCAGGACCCGCTTTCGAATCGGGAGGCCTCATTATTAAAACTATTGCGAGGCTCTGGGAAGCTGGCTCACAAGCTTTCCAGGTTGGGCGCTGGGCACGGTGGACATGGGCCTGTAGAGCTCTGTGGCCCAGGATGAACCATTTGTCCACACTGGCCTATCTGCCAGACCGGGTGTGACGGCTTCAAAGACAAAGACATGGTCCTTGCTCTTGCGTGATGCAGCCCAGTGACTTAATGTGGCCATTGGGCGTTAAGAGCGAGGCCATGCGGGTGAGGAACACTGGCACCAACTCTAGGAGCTGCACCTTCGCCCCCACCCCCTCCCTTCCCTCCTTCACCCAAAAGCCCTGGCCCCTCCTCTGCCATCAGGGTTAAGTGCAGGGGAGTCCCTGTCCCTGAAAATGCATCTCAGCCTCAAGAGGGCTTCGGGGCTACATGCAAGAGTGGGGCTCAGGGAGATGGGACCAGACAGACAGTGCGTGGCCCACAGTCCACGGTGTGTGCTGGTGAGCACTGGGGAGGGGGTGTGGGACAACCATGGAAGGTTAGCGTTCGGAAGTAATGGGGAGTCCTGGGCAGTTGCACTCCCTTAATGTGGACCTCCTACAAGACCAGGGAGAGGCAGAAGTGAGGAATGGCGTGGGGGGCTGTGGGGGGCAGGACCTAGGGCCACTGGAGGTAGGCAGAGGAAGGCCTCTTCATCAGCCTCCATTTCAGCTGCAGCCCTTGGGCTCCTCCCTCTTTATTTTCCCAAATAAAGGTCCTGAAAAGAGCAATGAGCTGAAGTGTTTTTATTAAAAGGTTCCTGACTGACTGATCTCCCAGTGTGTTTCCATGCCAGCCACCTCGGGGGGTGCCAGGTGGCTGGCCTGTGAGAGTAGAGGTTATTGTGTCCCCCTGCTCCCCCTTGCTGGGGTCACTCAGCTCTGCTGGGGCTCCCTGCTGGCCAGCCTTCCCTTCCTTCAGCCACTGTCCACGGCCCTGATCCCTGGTTGCCGTTTGCTGTTTATGATCTCCCTCCAGTTGTCACTCCAGGAGAGCAGTCGTCTCCTTGTGGGGGGCAGGGCCAGGTGCTGGTTGTGGCAGCAGGTGAACAAGATGTGCTCCCAGCTTGGGTTCTCCTCTTGGCCTGGGACAGGGCACGGGAGAAAGGCAGCAAGCATGCAGTGTGCGTTTTTTTTTGGGGGGGGGGGGGTTTGCTCCCTCTCCCTAATCCCACACCAGGTGCCTGGAGGTGGCCAAGGAAAACAGATCCAACCTTGAATGGTGTCCTTATCATCAATGAGCAGGTCCCCCAAGACGACCGTCTTGTCCCTCGTCATGATGATGCGCTCCACAAACTGGGGCCCCAGGTGCTTCTCCACCCAGCGGTACTGTGTAGGGGCACAGATGTGTCAGTAGGGCCTGATGGGCCCCTGAATTCAGGCTAGTGAGGAAGTAGGTGTGAGTGGTGTCTGCGGCCCTTGACAGATGCAGCTCCCCTGGCCCCCATCCCACACTTCCTGTGTTTCTGCTGGTTTAAGACCATGACTTAGCTAAGTGTGTCTAGGAGGTGCTGGGGCAGCCGCACCTTCTCTCCCACACAGTGCTCATACTTCAGCAGAGGGCTGGTGCAGATGAAGACCTCGGTGCTGCGGGGAAGGCGCCAGTTAGACAGGGCGGTGCTGGCCCCTGCTCCCCGCCCCCTCTCCCGCTTCCTCACTCCTTGAGAGCGTTCATCTGCTGCATGGCTTCCAAGGCTCCAGGGATGGGCTCCAAGTCTAGGAAAAAGCCGGGGGCTTCATACACACTCGCGATTTTGTCCTGAAAGACAGTGTTCCCATCCTGGCTTCTGCCTCAGCCAGTCTACCCCCAGCGAGGGTCTCAAAGGCGGGGGGCGGGCTCTTCTTATCCTGGGGTGAACTCTCTATCCTGCAGTGAGTTTTGTTAATTTTAAACTGGAAGAGAGCGAATCGGGAGGTGGAGCAGAGACCATACTGCCCCAGGGTAGGACTCCCTACTCCTAAGTGTCCTGCGGGGTTGGAGCTCCCGCTCCCGGACATGCAGGGTGGAGGATCCCCCTCGGAGGGCGCCCCGCGCTGCGCCCGCCACCCCCACGCCCTACCGCCAGGTCCGGCCGCAGGGCTCGGTACTGCTCCCGAGCGAAGAAGCCGCGGCGCTCGGCCAGGGGCACGTGCGGCTCCCCGGGGAAGCGGCGGAGAAAGGACCGTAGGAGGCCAGCCTCGAAGTCGGCTAGCACGCCGTCCATGTCCACCAGCACCCGCACAGGCCGCGCGTGCCGCACCGCCGTCGCCATCGCCATGGCGAGAGCGCCAGGACCCGCTTTCGAACGGAGTGCTGGGAGCGTGGGGAGAGCCCTGGCCGCCGCTTCCGGAGCCGCGGGTGGGCGTGGCCGTCCCGGGCGTGTTTGCATGGGCCCCGCCCACCCGCCTCCCCGGAGGCCTAAGCGCTGGGAGGGCTCGGGAATCGCCCCTCTAGTATTCAGCCGCCGCAGGTGTCCCCAGGGCCCGACAGGGGCGATCCTAGGGTCCAGGCGGCCAGTCCTTGCTTGCGGGCGCGGGGCCCGCGGGGACGCCGCGGACCCCGAGCCGAGCTCCCCAGAAACGAATGCTCAGACCTGCCGACTTGGAACACGACAGCTTCTACTTAAAATATACAGCCCCACCTGACAGACGATTTCCGTCGAGCTCAGGTCCTCGGGACTGCCCTTCTCTCGGTGGAACTAGTGCCTCGTCTCTAGAATCGGCAGTTAGATCCCCCTCTGGAAAATGCTGGATGTTGCTAAATTTTGTTAATTCCCCATTTTGTAGATTTCACACTTCTTGACTACATCCATGTATAATCCCCCATATGAGCACCCCGATACTGCCAAACCAATGCAACAGAAGCATTACAAAGGGGAACCTGGTATCTCATTCTAAGATACTTAAACACTTAAGAGCCCGGGCTCACGGGGCTCAGTGGATTGAGTGCCAGCCTGCGAACCAGGGGTCACTGATTTGACTCCCAATGAGGGCACACGCCTGGGTTGCCGCCTGGGTCACCCACCAGAGGGCGGCGCGAGCCACACGTTGGTGTTTCCCTCTTTTTCCTTCCCTTCCCCTCTCTGAAAATAGCTAAAATCTTCTTTAAAACAAACAAACAAAAAAAACCCCTTCCACTTAAAAGAACAGGTAGAGGATGAAAGAAGTTGAAGGGATTAGCCAAAGGACATACTTGTATATGTGTGACTTTTAGATGAGGGCAACGACGTGGCGTTACCTGAGGAGGGGGTGGGGGCTGGGGAGAGGTGGAAAAATTAAGGACAACGGTAATAGTCTAAAAAACAAAAAATAAAGGAAAAAAAGGTAGAACTTATTGTGTAAGCAGTAAATACTGAGAACTTGACTACTTCCGCCCCCTCCTTCACTACCCCACTGAAGTCGCACAAACTGGGTAAAAAGTCCAAAACGTCAATTCCAGTCATCATTTTAAGATTCTTAAACTTCACTTTCAAGACCCTAAGCTTTCTAACTGGAAAATGTAACACTAACCTTTAGCAAACATGTTTACATAATTTCCGAAAATTTTATGTAATTCTGACGGTAGTAAAACGACAGGCAGAACTGCCTTTCCCTCAGAACACCTTAATTTTTTTTTTAGCAGTTTTATTTTCTGTTGTAATAAAATAATTAAAAGCTCCCTCCAGAACACCTTTTGATTAGGCATTTATCTTCACAGAATTAACTCCAAATCACAAGTCATACACAAATCAGGGACATCTTTTCCAAGAGCCCCTGCCTCCAGGCTAGTCTGCTTTACACTCCAGGAAAATCTTGGCACCCACAGCCTATAAATACCTCTATTCTTCCCACAGAGATGCCCAATAGTTGAAACGAGTCTGTGGTCACACACCACACTCATCCCAATCATGGGAGGGGCTAAGAGGTGTCCTACTTCAAAGGGGTCACTTTTTAAGTTAGGAAATCCAGTCCCAAATGACAAGCCAGCAGAATACAGGTGGTCAGTGGCATAGCTGTTCCTAAAAGTCAGGTCTTAATAATGCTCAATTTAGACATTTAATATAGCACATTGACCTGGAACTTTCTCCCTAGAACCCAGCTGTCTCTTTGGGACTTAAGGGGACTCTTATCCCCTGTCCCCACCCCTGGCCCCTTCTAATGATGTAGACCCTTCCCTCCTCTGGAGCTCTCTTCTTTGACCCACTATTGAGAAGCACCTTGCAGGTGTGAGAGGACTTAAGGGTCCAAAATATTTGGGCCAATAATTACTTGGGCTACCAACTCCTCTTATTATGCCTGAGTTTTATTGCCGCGGACATCAGAGCTCATGATCGCTGCGGCACTGTGAACTCCCACTATGAACCTAAACCTGCCGCCTGTAGCTTTGTGTAGAGAGAGGCAGGCCCACTTGTCTTCGGGCCTTCACTAGTTTCACCTGAATGGCTCTTCAAATCATTGAGCGACAGGATTTACAGTAACAAGGAAAAAGCAATCCAACAGGTAGAACACAATCTCAAAAAGAAGACACGGGACACAGTATTTCAAAATTTGTACATTGTTTACTTTAAGCAACAGTCCAGGATTCTGAAGTACAACACATGTTTTGAGGATGAGACTTTTCGTTTCATGGTCAAGCACCAGCATCATGCACACAGCTTCAAGTTACCTACGCACTGCCGCCCCAGCGGGTCCACTCAAGACGCCCTCCCGCCGCGTGGTCACCGCCCTTGCTCGCTGCGCGGCCTGGAGTCGGCCGGTTCCTCTGTGAGAGCAGGAGGCTTTGCTCCTCGGCCACTCACGTTAGTATCTGGCTTATTTCGTAAGGTTCAAAAAGAAAAGGCAGTTTCTTTGCTTTGCAGGCAGCTCGGCATGAGGCGCAGGCCTCTTTTATTTTCCATATGGCACAGGAAGATGCTTCTGGCAAAGGGCACTGACAAGTTAGGGCAACACCGAGAAGGTGCGGCATAAAGACAACCCTGTGTTGGGGCCGTAGGGACGGTGCCTGTGGCCTGTTTGTGGGCCTGTCCATCAAGGCCTGGTAAACCCAAGTAAAGCTGACAAGAAAAGGGGTTTAAAAAGCTCAGTACAAAAGATCCTCTAACAGATTTGGAACCAAATTATTTGTCCTTAAAAACACAATACTAAGTGTCACAAAGCTTCCCTCCAATCTACTACTAGAAAACACCATGCCATGGCCTACAGACCCAGAGGAATCAGGACAGATCAAGAGAACCTGTTCTTCAAAAATAAAAGGGGGCAAAAAAAAAAAGACAGCAGTACATAAAGTGCTTCTTTTTTAATGAAACAAATCCAAAAGATGTACAGTCAGGCTCAAGTTGTGCAGCTCACAAGCATGGAGAAAACAAACAAACAAACAAACAGGACGACAGCGTTCAGGGCAGTGGGAGCTAACCCAGGACCAGGCTGGACTTGCCGCCGGGGGGGTTCCTTCGCGACGGCACGGGGGCCGGCGCCACCGGGCTGGGCACAGGGGCCGCAGGCACAGGCTTCTCCTCGCTCTGCCCCAGGCTGGCCTGAAAGTCTGTGTCCACGTTTTCTAGGAAAATAGGATGAAATTGAGGCTAATAACTATTTCCAGTGAAGATGAAGAACCTAAGATATATTTTTTGAGGAGGGTTCAAAACATACCTAGAGATACGAAGATGAAAGCACCAGCTACATTCCTACTACTCAGAATTAACCACTGTTCATGTTTTGCCCTATTTGTCCCTGGACCTTTTTCTGCATATGTTCTTGTCTCCATTACACAAACAATGAAGGCATGTGTATTTTAAATTAGAACCTTACAGATAAGCACTAGGTCCCTCACCCCGAACCCACCTCCACATGGGTCTCCTCGCCTATTCCCAGAGGCCCCGTGGCTAGGTGTCTGCGTTCCTCCGGTCCATTTGTTTCATGCATATTTACGTGTATTTTATTTCCAACAGGTAACATATAATATCATTTCTGCTGTATTTAACATAAACGATTATCAGCTTCCTTTTTTTCGCTCTTTGGGAAACTTACCCATATTTATGCACATGATCATAATTTACCTTGCTTAATTAAACTCCTTCATAATATACGTGTATATACATATAGTATATATTTGTCCAATCTTCTTCTACTGATAGCAACAAATTGGAACCAACCCAGCCATTCCAAAGAAAGCTGTAAGGCGCGCGTACACCGGGAACATGCGCCATGCCTTCAACCGGAACACTGCCCGCCACCCTCCCTAGGGGCGGAGTCCCGCTCCACCCCGCAGCCCACGTTCGAGCACGCCCTCCTGCCGTCCGCATACCGTCCATTTGATAACCACCTCACTTTAACACCTGCCAAACAGACGGGTGAAACCGTCACTGCATTCCTGTTTTCTGTTACCTGTCCACAGTTACTAGGTGAGGTTGATTTCAACCACGCAGATTCCCAGGGTGCCATCAACATATATTACAGAGTCCACTTCCCCCCGCCCGCTGGTAATAACCATTAACCAGGGTGCTCCCATCTCTTGTTAACTGGGCACTCTGCACGTTAAAGTCTTTAGAATTAGTGTTTCATTAGCCAATACCCTGGATATTGCTTGCTTGATTGATTCACTGGCTGATGTGTGAAATTCCCAGCAAGCATATCTTCCTAATCAAGTAGTTTCCAAAATCAGAGAAGTCATTTATTCAAAGTCAAGAGTAACTGCAAAAGAAAAAACTCAGTTTTTTCTGTGAAAAAAAGGTCTATGAAGAGTTCAATAGTTTTAAGGCATGTTAGACTTATTTTTAATTTTTAAAAAAATGTCAGGTCTCATTTTGGTGTTAAACCACATTCAGACCCCGCCAGGTGGCTCAGTGGATTGAGCGCTGGCCTGTGAACCAAAGGGTCGCCGTTGATTCCCAGTCAGGGCACATGTCTGGGTTGCAGGCCAGGTCGCCAATTGTGGGGGGCACGCAAGAAGCAGCTGATGGATGTATCTCTCACACGTTGATGTTTCTCTCCCTTTCTTTCTCCCTCCCTTCCTCTCTCTAAAAATAAATTAAATTAAATTAAAAACAAAAGGAACACATTCAGTTGCATACTCTTAACACCTGCCTTAGAATAGCCACATACACACAGACACCTTCTGGTAGAAGACTTGGGAGAAAAACGACCATGAGGATTAAAGACGTTTACTCCCCCCGTGTGGGAATTCCAAAGCTCCGAAGTGGTGAAGATGAACTGTCGGCTGTGATGTGTACACTGGGCAAGAACTCTGCGTGCACTCACTACTGGATACAAATGAAAAGTTCTAGTTTTGAAAAAATGGAGTTCCTCAAAAACTAAACAATAAAAGTTCATGTTCCTAAAACCACTTGTACCAAGTTTTGATTTAGCTGAAACGAGAAGTCCAAGGGGGAAGAGGTTTTAGATCAGAAACAACAAAAATCTCAGAAATACTAATGTTGCATTTTGCGAATTTTTGGAACAATCTATAGAAGTGACATAATGTGACATACATAAGTATTGAACTGACAGTAAAACCCTAATAGGACGCTTTCCAAGATGACAGCCCCCGTGGCTGCGACCAGAAGAAGCTCGGAGGGAGAGGGTCGCCCTTCAGGTCCCTGCAGCCACGCTCTCATCACACAAGAGACCGTCTCGTGCACCAACACCGAGCGCCCAAGCCCTGCAGTAAGCGCCCTTCATGGAGTCTAAGGAAATACGTCCACCGTCCAAATACAAATCACCTCCGAGAAAACACATTTTAAAACAATGCAAACAGATGAACAGAGACCAGGAACTCCGGCCGAGCCAGCGCCCACGACCCGCTGCGCTGTCTGCGTCAAGCAGTTAACCTTCGGTCACGGTAGTTAATTTCCTGAAAGTGATTTTTAGGGAAATCAAGCTCATTTCCAACAATCTACTTGTCTTTTATTATTAATGGAACTGTTCTGTCTTTTACAAGGAGGAAACGACATACCAAAAAAGAAAAAAAAATGCACATATGGAGACTAAAAAGCAGCAGGCTTTAACTTAAATGCTCATTTGTCAGAAATAAATACTCCAGCCAGCAAAGATGGAGGTTGGTTTGTTACTCGAACTCATTAAGTCTGCAGCGGGATAAGGAATTGAGAGTAAAGGTTTAGAAACTTCTATAGCAACAGGAACTTCACAAAGCTTTTGTCTGTTGAATCTAATAATTTGTTTTAGAGGGCTTTAAACAAAAATACTTCTACCATAATATCCGTCTTACACACACTCCTGACTTGCCTTTCTTCTCTGGCGCCTCAGGAGAGGCACTGAATGGACACCTGTCATAACAGGACGTGAACAAAACCAAATTGATCTTCAGTGCAGTGAAAAAGTAATTTGTCCAGTAAGGACAAGCCCAGGTTACGCTCACAATAGTTCGGAAGACCCTCCTCCACTCATCCCCATCAAAAAACCCTCTGGCCCGGCCAGGGGGCTCGGTCGGTTGGAGCATCGTCCCGCACACAGTTCGAAGGTTTGCGGCCAGGGACAGTACCGGAGGCAGCCAAGGGGCGTTCCTTTCTTCTATCAGTGCTTCCCTCCACCTGCCCCCTCCAAAATCCCTCGGGTGGAGATTTAAAAATGAAGAAAGAAAGAAGACGCTTTGAGAGGACAGAAGAGGAATGTGGTTCTCAGACACTGGTTTTCCTGGCAGGAAAAGGCCATGAGGAAGCCACTTTATCCGGCCCAGAGGGCCTACGGTGGTGGCATTTCACCGGGTCCATTTGAATCTGGCTGCCGCTGCCTGGTGTGTGTGCACTTTGCGTCACCCTTGTCCGCGTCCTGCGGCGCGTGTAAGGAAATGCCAATAAACACTTCAAAGATTTAAAATAAGTAAATGATAATAGCTCATTTCCACAAGACGCTAACTGAAAATTCACATCTGCCCCCAAATCATGATTTATAAGGTCACAGGGTTATCACTGTCCTGATGAACAAGCACCTGAGTGGAAAAATCAAACAAAAAGTGGCAGGGCCAGGCTTGAACTGACAGAGCCATTTACTGAAAAGCTCTCATTAAGTATAATCAACACCCGCCTGGGCAATGCACACACACTGGTAAAGGAATGTTGGCTTTTTTCCCCTTTCTGTACATTTCGAGCATCGCTCTCACTGCTGGCTGATACCAAATGTGCCAAGTTTGCTAACTTCCCCGTCTCATTTTTCTCTCCCTCCACCCAGAGTCTGCGGCGCTTGGGCAAAGCCAAATTCCAGTCCCCAGACTCTTTCCCCAAGACATGACTGGACTCAAAATTCCAATCTATTCTAAAACCATTTACAGAACCAGAAATGTGGGCGTCAGAGGTACTCACCATGGATGTCACCTTCTCCCTAGAAAAGAAAAGACATTAAAAATTTACTTCCGATGTTACCTTTGCAACATACAAATAAAGCAGTCACAGTTCAGAGAGGCTGCTCTCTCTCTGAAAACAAGTGTCTTCGTTTTGACGTGGTCAAGGTCAGGACCAGGCCTCGTTATAATAAGCAACCTTTATTCAAGGGGGACAACAAGGCACAAAAATGCCACAGGACTGACTGCTCCAGTGCCAGTACCACACCCAAAATTTTTTAAAAACCCAACCTTAACATCTAACCGTCACCCCAATAAATTTAATTTTTAAAAAAGATTTTATTCATTTATTTTTAGAGAGAGGGAAAGGGAGGGAGAAAGAGAGGGGCAGAAACATCAGTGTGTGAGAGACACATCAACTGGTTCCCTCTTACACACCCCCAGCAGGGGGCCTGGCCAGCAACCGAGGCCTGTGCCCTGACAGGGAACCCAACCAGCGACCTTCAGCTTGCAGGATGACACCTAACCCACTGAATCATACCAGTCAGGGCAAATTTAATTTAAAATTCTTTAAAAAAATCTTATCTATACTGATGACCTGTGTCAAGTGGCATTTCAGAGGCTCTTTTATCAGCACGGGAAAGTGATGAATCTGTCCCTCCCTTCTCCCTCTTTCTTCTGACCTGGGCGCTGAAGGGCACCTAACAACCCTGAAACCCCCCCTGCACGCCTCCCCACACTCGGAGGGCTGGTGCCTCCACGTGCCCCGCGGTCCCTGCTCAGCACGACTCCCTCCCGGGCTTTCCGGCCCCTCTGCTGGGGACCGCGGGGCGGCGCTGCAGTCTCCCGGAGTTCAGCTCGAGGCAACTGGACAGCACTGGCCGGCAGTTTAAAGAGAACTGGAGCGCAGAAATACCACTGTGTATATGTGAGAGACACTGGCTGTGAGTGTGATTCAGAAGCTGGAAAAATCAGTGCCGTAGAGACCAACCCTAATGGTTGAAGAGGCATCAGGCGGGACCTGGGTCACCCTGGCTGGCGTGGCTCCGTTGGCCGAGTGCTGTCCCGCAAAGCAGAAAGTCACCAGTTTGATTCCCGGTCAGGGCACATGCCTGGGTGGCAGGCCAGTCCCCTGCTGGGAGCATGCGAGAGGCAACCCATCGATGTTTCTCTCCCTCTCTTTCTCCCTCCTTTCCCCTCTCTCTAAAAATAAGTAAATAAAATCTTAAAAAAAAAAAGCCAAAACAACAGACCAAGATCACGTTTTCTCACTTTCTGACTTCCCTCCCTTTAGTGAATAACCTTCCCGTCACCAACACGCCCCAGTCCCTCCCCGATAAACCCTACGGCCGCCTCTAGGGGCAGAACCGAAGCTCTCGGAAGCGGGGCGAGAATCTGATTTCTAAACTGAATGCGCCTCGAGGCCTGCCTTCCTCCCGAGGCTGTCACGCTGACCTTGAGATCGAAGAAGTCTCCCGAGTTCGCTTCGGAGGAGTTCCTTCTCTGGGGTCCGGGCAACTCAGAATCTTCTCTGCCCCCGCTAGACTTGGCACCTGAATCGAGAGACTTTCTTGAGGGATATCATAGGAAGACCTAAAGCACACACTTTTTCAGTGAATGATATTATATGTCAGTCTCCTGTTACAAAATGAGCAACAGTGTTAGAGAGGTTAAGTGGTGACTTAAAAATGTGACAGAGGGACTGAATGAACCAATCTGATGTCACTCCTTACCCTGATCCATCCCACGAACTCTCAGTATTTCCCGATATTTAGTCCCAGTCTTTCCTCCAATGAGAAGCTTTCACTGTTGTTTGTCTCACGACGACAGAGCTAGCTGTTGCTCACCGGCCCTACAGCAGCGGTGGGCGTTCACACCGGGGCCTTGCCCGGCCAGCGACCACAGTCATAGGCCAGCGACCTCAGTCAGAACCCGTACCTGCCGACTTGGCCCACGAAGGGGGGTTTTCCTCAGGTGTCCCGAAGATGCTGGAGGCCATTTTGTTCTTCCTCACGGGTTGTTCTGTTGGTTCATCAAAGCCTAATGAAAAGTTGGATCCGCCACCGGGAGGCCGCAAAACCCTAGGAATCGTGGCAAAACATCGATTTCAAACCAAAATATTTCTTGGCAAAAATGATGTCAAATACCTTTCATTGCATTTCCCTCGCCCATTCATTCCCCTTCCTTCCCACAAAAGAGCTGCTCACAGGGAAGAGGAACCGACTCCACGGGGTATAAATGCAACACTGGGTGTTACGATACGAAACGCCGCTTTGTGTTTGTAGCAAGTCTGTCCCACGGTCATCGCAAGCAGCCTGGCTGGGTCCCCTTTTAGGAAATGGCTGAGGACCTGAGGGGCCTCGCCTCCTGGGCTTCGCTGAGGTACAGGGTGGGGCAAAAGGACGTTTTCAGTTGTGAGAACTAGAAAGAGTTTATTCTTGCATTATTTAGGGTTGTATTTTTTTCCACATGAACAGCTATAAACCTCCTTTTGCCCCACCTTGCATGTGCAAAGAAGTTTAGAAGCACATATTATTTATTTTTCCATTTTTATTTTCAACGAAATAAAAAAAATAGAAGAATATTAATAGAAAAGTTAGCTAGAACAATTTAGAAGCCCAAGCAAAGGTGATAAAAAGCGTCTCTCCTCTCTCCTCATCACAGACAAGCCCTGTTGAGTACAGTCGTACCTCGCTATTGTCCCTAGTAAACATGAGTGACTTGGATGCGGAGAAAGTCAACAAGAGAAAATGAGTAAGATTCATGGCATGTTCTACGCACATGCACCTTTGGACACCACTTACAGCTTTTTGTCCAACAAGGAATCTAGTACCTTTCTTTGCGTTTCCAAATCTTCCTGCCACGGGCGAACCAATTTGTCCCCTCCTCGGAAAAAACTCAATTTAACGTGTCCTGGCACCTCTCAAACACAGAAAACGGAGATGGTTTTATGGGAAGATTTTCTATCTACTGATTCAATTCCTTCAGTAAGGATAGGAGCAGTTTGGTTTCTATTTCTTCTGAAGTCAGTTTGAATAAGAAACATTTTTCTAGGAATATGTTCATTTCATCCAAGTTTCCAAATAAATACAGTTGTCATTTGTAAACTCAGCTCCTTATGTTAGAAAATAAAGGAAAAATTAAACACTTAAAGTATAAATTCTCTCTTGAAGTTAAATGCCTCTAAGTACCATACTAAAGGCATTCTCAAGTTTTTATTTATTTTTTACTATTGTCTTTTCTAAATAGTTTCACATTTCCACTTCTTTCTTCTTTGACCCATAAATTATTTAGAAGTACATTTGTAAGTTTCCAGATATAGGGGTCTTCCTAGTTTATTGATTTCTATCTTTTAATTATAACAGACGAAAGTTTTATGACATAAATCCTTTGAAATTTGATGAGATGTACCTTATGGCCTAGTATGTGGTTAGTTTTGTAAATCTCTACATGTGCTTGAAAAGAATATATATTTGCCAGGGTTCTATATACCCACTAGATCGAGCTTGTTCATCAAGTTATTCAAATCTACTAATTAAATGTTTTATCACTTATTGAGAAGCTCTCTTAGCTTCTACTACAATGGGGCCTTCTCATTTTCTCCTCAGAATTCTGTCAAGATAAAGAGTCCCCTCTCAGAAAGGCTGCCACTGGGACATTTTAGATGACGGGGGGGGGGGGTGTGGAAACTTCACTGGATTAACCGGGTAGTCATTTGATTAATCAAACCAAATATATATCCCTAACCCACTTCACTTACCAAAAAGTTCCAGCTAGGTCAAATATTTCCCTTTAAAAACTAAAACTAAAATGCTGGGAGGAGTTGTGTGTGAACGTGTCCTGGTCTGGAAGGAAAGGGCTTTCTTTCCAAGGACAAGATGAAAGCCAGGAATCCTAAGATGAACAGATTAAACCTGGCAAAAATACACATAACATTTGACAAAGGATAATATCGTCAGAGTGTGGAACGCTCTTAAAAATGCTTTTTAAAAAATAACAAGATAAAAATGGACAGAAGGTACTAACAGGAAATTTAAAAACATGGATAGCCTCTAAATACTAAAAATTTTACCTCACTAACAAATAAATGAAATTTAACACAAGGCGAAATTTTTTTTCTTATCAGACTGGTAAAGACGGGGGGCGGGGATGCCAATTCCCAGTATCAATTGAAGTGTGAGAACAAATTTGTACAAACTGTCTAAATAACATTTTGATAATATGTATTAAATGTTTAAGTTTGCATTTTATATGAATCTGCATTTCTACTCCCAGAAATTATCCTAAGTAGATAACCAGACATATGTACAAGGAGACTCCTATAAATAGGTTAATCTGTACAAAGTTGGAAAACCCTAGTTACCCAATAGTAACAAATTAGTTATCTGCCTGTCCGTACAACAGAAAGACATATACATTAGGCCCTGGCTGGGTAGATCAGTTGGTTAAAGTGTCGTCCCAATTAGCCAAGGGTGCATGTTTGACTCTGTCAGGGCAGACAAGCGGCAAGCAATGACGGCACAGGGAAGTGCAACAACAAATCGACATCTCTCTCTCTCCTTCTCTCCCAATAATATATATATATTTTTAAGGCTATATACATCCAGGTGAGATTTACCTTTATTAGTAGATGCAAAACATTACTCCAAACCCAGTGAATAAAAAAGGCTGGAGAACAAAAATGAGCCCAATTACATGTTACAGAAAATGATGTGTACAGAGATAAACACTTATCTAGCTGTGTGACCTTGGGTAAGTTGCTTACCCTCTCTATGCTTCGGTTTTCTCTTCTATAAAAGGAAAACGCTAGCTGCCTCGTGAGACACGGGGAAGGATATCAGATATACTGCACTTAGAACAGTAACTGGGATCTGGCAACCCCGTGTCCCAGCGATGACAATAATCATAACTAGACACAAATGCCCGAAAGCACGTGCACCAAAATGTCATCCAGATTTCTGGGGGGTTTTAATGTCTTTCTGATACTTCATATTTTTCTGTACTGCTATTAATCTAAAATTCTTTTAAAGACCACTTCTGGTTGCAGGATGCCCTGACTTTCTGTTGACAATACTGCTTCCCCCGCCACGGGCCATTATAGGTGATCTTTCCGGAGCACGAGCGTCCATACCAGCATTCATTTGGGTCTCTGGGCAGAAATCTCAGCATCTCTGCTCCCTTGCGTGGGGGCGGACACCCTGGCCTCAGCTCCCTAGCGCTGCCCCTTCCTGCCCGAGGGGCGAGGATCTGCCCTGTTCTGAGTCCTTTCCCACCAAGCTCGCCTGTCCAGTCTTATCCCTGCACCCAAAGCCAGCAGACGCAAGGCCTGGGTAAGCCAAGGTAGACCTGAAGGAGGCCCGACAGACTTTGCCAAGTACGGACGTAGCCTCCTCTCCACCACACCTCGTTCTGACTGTCGTCTTCACGAACCCAGGCAGGCCACGTCACCGTTGCACACAGTTCTGGCCGGACTCCCCCGGGGGCCACGTGCTCCCTGCAGCCTGTCGCCACTCTTCCTCCGCGACTCCCATACCTCGCCTCTGCCAGGAAGCCGGTCGAGTCCTTTGTGATCTCAGAGAGTAACGGGTGAACCCAAGAGGTGAAAATGCTGGAGATCCTCTCTCGGTTGCCAACTTTTTGTGTGAAGGGCCAGATAGGAAATATTTTTGGCTCGTGGGTCCCACAGTCTTGCACAACTATTTAATTCCGTCGCCCAGCACCAAGGCAGCCAGGGACAACATGGAAATGAATGCTTGCGGCTATGTTCCAATCAAACTTCATTTACAGGCACTGAAATTTGATTTTTATGTCATTTTCACAAGTCACGAAATAATCTTCTTCTTGTTTTTGTTTTGTTTGTTTTCTTAAATCAACCATTTGTAAAAGTCAAGATCTGGCGCCAGCTGAGTTTGGCCCTCACGTGGTAGTTTGCTGGGCTCTGCTCTATCCCAGAGATTTCCAACCCACGTGCCACAAGAATTTTTTTATGCGTGCAATACCTGACTGTTTAGTCAGGGACTCTGACTTCTTTTCTCTTACTTTGTCAAATAAAAAAATGACAACAGCCAACACAACAGTAGTCCAGTGTGAATGAATAAAAATTATACCTGTTTTTTGTCAGAGCAGCAAAAAATACATTTTTTGGTGTGCCGCAAAATTTGAGTACTTAGTTTCTGTGTGCCAGGAGATGAAAAAGGTTGAAAATCGCTGCTCTATTCAGTTCAACAGCCTCATTTCTAGGAGAGCCAAGTCGGGCTCTGAGAAGTTCCAAACGAATTGCCCAACATTAGTTAACTGACAAGAGATGGAACCGAAACCCAAATCCCCAGTTCCTGGCAAGCATATAATGTGGGCTCAAAGTACGTTGATATAGTGGAACCACACAAGGCCATTTTTCTCTTTAAACTACAAACCTGCATAGTTGGTGCTTTGATTAGTTTTCTTATTTTCTAATCTTAGACTGTCTTATATTTTGTATATAGGTCCTCCAGTGTCTTCTCTGAATCTAATATTTCTGTCTGCCCATAGTAAAATTCAGTACTCAATTTACACTAAATAAAAATGTCATCATTTTTCCTCTGAGGGATGGGAGGAGAAGAATCTATTGTATTCTTTTATAACATGTTAAACATTTAAAATCCCACTGTTGTTTTTTAAGTCTCAGATATTAAATATCCACTTATATTAAATTCACCATATGAAGATAAATGTATTCAGGCATATATTTTATAAAGATGATAATTTGAGGTTAGCTTAAATTGTTAAGTCATAATTAAAGCTGTTATAAATTCTTAACAAGCTTTCTCTCATTTTAAAGTTTGAGGTGATTAGGTTTTTAACACTTGTACCCGAAGTCAACAAAGACACTTGGAATATTATCATCAAAGTTAACTTGCTTCATTGTCTTCCCCTTCATTTCCTGGAGAGTAGAGTGATTTTGTTTCCCCTTACCATCCTAATGAAATCTTATGAATTTTTAGCCAGATGAAAATCTTCAGAACCCTAATGGGCTGGGAAATATTTTTTGGCCTTAAAAAAAAAAAAGACACTAGTACCCAAACACCAGCTTAAAAAGTCAAAATTCTGACCAGCCCAACTTTTTAAAGGTCTGTGTTTCTCTTATAACAGCAGGTAACACATACTCCGATGACGTCAGTGTTGTGGAGCCCATTTGTAACAGCCAGACATCCCCAAACAAAGGATTTGAATCATAAGACAGAAATTATATCTATTTTACTTTTTAAGTCCCTACTATTCCTTCTGAGCTGCACACATGGTAACAAAACCAGGATTACATATTTGAGATTCAACAACAATGTCTTCATGTACTGCAGATAGCAATTTTTAAAAAATTACTTCTTTCTTCTCTCTTGAATCCCAGAGTTCCCATATGGTCTTTGCGGATCATTTCCTAACAGACTAAATTTACAACACCAGGAGAGTGTTCCTGGAGAAAAGAAGTTTAGGAGCACGAAGGTGAGAGTATAGAAGGAAAGGCAGGAAGTCAACAAAAAGACAAAGCTACAGCCCTCATCACAATACTACAGAGAAACTGATGACAAAAGGTGAACTAAAACACTAATTTTGCAGAACCAAAACTCATTTCTGTCTCACATTTCAAATATACATATCAAAAACCTCACATGAGGATTCATCTGACCAGGCTACCGAAATTCTTCATGAAGCCCGAAACTGCAGTCGGCCCCAGAGGATAAAACCTCAGATTTTTTTACACATTAACATTCCAGCCACTACATTCTGAGCCGCAGAAAGTTGACCACATGGCATGAAATGAAAAACCAAGGTTCAATTTGTTCCAGTGTCCTCTGAAAAAAATGATCTCACTGGAAGGCTGACAACAGAAGAGGGAGTGACCCTCTTCAGCGTTTTCACAGGTCCCTACTACCCAAGCTCCCCCACCCTCCCAGGAACCACCGCTTTAGTTTCTAAAAATCTTTCCTGTTTTTTTCTACATTGTTAAAGGGAAAGGTATGAGTTAAAAAAGAAATGTCATTTCCAAAGCTCCCTCCTAAGACTCACTGCTGAGGCCTGCTTTTGTCCTCAAGTTCTCCAACCCCTAGGAGACACTGCTATTTCACGGCTGTCTTCTTAGCCCCACAAAATGGCTCCCTTTGTGCCACTTGCTCAGGACCCCAAGGCTGGCCATACATGACTGCATGTCACCGTCAATGACAAACAGATGCCCAGAAAAAGTGGAGTCTAAGCGTCCTCCAAGCCCTGAGCAAGGATCCCAGAGATGCCTGTATCCCACCTTAAAGAGCCGTGTGCAATTAGCAAAGACAATGTGAACATGTTGCACCAGATCAGAGCCCTTCCACCAAGTTAGGCATCCGCTTGGAAAAGGGCCCCAGTCCAAACTCCGTGCCCAGTGGCCCCTTCCCCAAATGCAGTGGCATGAGTGGCCAGAAAGGCCCGGCTGTCCAGGTGGAGACAGAATACGGAAGAGACAATGGATGTCTCCGGCCCCGCCCAAGAACAGGAAACCTCCTCCAGCAAGGGAACCAGGGCCAGAGATGAACTCATTTAACAAACGTCAAAGCGGGAAGCAAAAGAGGGGGGATGCAAAGACCGAGGTCCGAAGGTGAGAGCACAGAAAACCTACTCGAACTGTCGCTCTCCCCCTCCGGTTCGGAGGTGGGAGCGAGCAGGGAAGGAGCAGGGGTCTTTCCTTTGTTATCAGAGGGGAGGCACTTCGTGAAGGGATGACGGCTAGGTCCTGGAAAGGGGTGGGGGGTCACTATGACCACCCCCGCCTGACCACAATGCCACCTGCCAGACCAGCCCCAGTGGGTAGGAGCCCGCAGGAACCGATCGCTGCGACCACGGAATCTGATCTCCACGCCGATCGCACGGCCGCCACCTGCCCCGGACCAGTGACAGGAGCGCGTGGCCCTGGGGTGGGACAATGGGGCCTGACCGAGGAGCCCCGGGCACCCGGGGCCAAGACCACTGCCTTGGAGCCTGGCAGGCCACTCCAAAAAGGGGAGTGCCCCTACCTGCTCGGCACATCCCAACTTACAACCCGCGGTGCTATACGGGCACGCGGCCCTGGCCATCGTGTATCCTCGCTCCGGGGCAGGAATGAATGAAAGGAGCAGGAATAGGGCGGGGTCGCCTTGCCCCGCTGGAGGGGCGGCACAAAGGCGGGGCCGGCAGCCGAACACCGCCACTCGGCCGGACGCAAGCGTGGCGCCCGGGGCACGTTATTACCAACGAACGGCTGTTCGGCCCTCTCGGCCCCGCGGGGTACCGTCCCTCCCTCCCGACCCCGAGCCCGAGCCCAGCGCCGCGCAGGCGTGGCCCTCTCGCCTCACCGGGAGCTATTCCTGCTGTTCGGGTCGACGCCCTTGAAGGTGGTGGTGGTGGTCATGGCGCCGACGAGCGAGGTAGGCTGGCGCGGTAGCAAAGCGCAGAAAGGATCCGATCCGAGGGACGCAGGGTAGGTCCCTACCCCACCGACGGCGACCGCTGCGGGAGCCTCCGCCACCGCCTGCTTGGCCGGCCGCCGCTTTTATAGGGCTTGGAAAACCCGCCCCCAGCCTGCCGGCATTGGCCGATTCAAATAGCTCTCTTTATACCTATTGGTTCTCTGGAGTGCCAAGCATCGTGCTGCGTCAGGACTGGCTATGGCCCCCTTACTCAGCCAAAACCCGCCCGCTTCCTGGTCAGGGAAGATCTAGGGAAGTCCCCCCTCCCCCACCCCAATATCTCGGAGATGATTGGACAAAGGCCAAACCTGCCCGGCGCTCGGTACGAGTTACGCTCGCTGTCACTTAAAAAAAGTTACCTGTCGGAGGGGAAAGCTGGCTCTGGGCAAGCTCGAATCCACAGTGTAGAGCGGATCTGCCGTTACCGCACACTTATTTGCCTTACTTATGGTGGGATAACAAGGGCATGCTCCTTAATAAGGGATCAAAATTACTGCTCCAAATCGACATTTATTGAATACCTACTGTATTCCGTGTGGAAACCTGACAGTCCCAAAGCAGCAGCATTATGAGTCAGCGACAGAAAGCACGCCAAGATGATCCCTTTTAAAACGACTGGAAATTCTTTACATTTTAATTGTTACTATTTAGCTGTCATGGGCGGTGCAAGCACTAGACCAAAATTACAGTCGTTCCGATTTGAGGGCTTGTTCTAAGGCTGGTTAATGCCTGGCGGCTGGAAATGGCCACATCTCTTGCTACCAAGACCATCCCAGAGCTCTGCAGCTGTTTATAACCCTTAAGTCATGACTCTTCCACCTGTCCGGGTAAGTCTATCCCTGCAACAAATGCAGACACACTTGGAGGGCTCAGGAATGACTATTTACAAAATCCTAACAGGAAAGCCTTGGGCAAACCAGAGTGGAGGTCGTCTAAGTCATGCGCGTTTCCTCAAGGCAGATCTCTTTTTTCAGTATTTCCATAAAAATTGAACTACATTCCTCTTTGCAAGGCCTCCTCCTTCCAGGCAGCTGGAAGTTTATATTCTTGGTTAACCACTCTTCTGGGCTTTCATGGAAAGACAGAGACGAGTTCTTCTCTTCTAGAAGGCATGGATCATGTCTTTATGCGCTTACCACAAAAGCATGAAGCACACCCCGTGTTTAGATTAAAACCTTTCCATTCTTAAAGTCCCCGCCTAAATTTCCAAAACCTTAAAAACAAACAAAAAAAACTTCAGACCCATCTAGCTAGTGAGCATGCAAACCCTCCTCAAAAATCATGTAATTATAGACTAGGAGGTAGAGGGGTATGGTGGTCGCTGGCTCAGGCTCTCCTGGGAGAAATCTGGGTTTTAATCTGAGCACGTTTTCTCATTTGTAAAGTAAGGATAAAATAGTATCTAGACTCCGTAGAGTCGTGAGGACTGAATTAGGTAATAGACGTAAATTGGCCTGACATGTAAGAAGTCATCAAAGTGACAGCCATGTTTGTTCTCAGACTTACTTGGAAAATAATCACATACTTTCTAAGAATCTGAAATTTTGTGTTAATTCAGGGGTGTGCACCTGATTCTTTAGGGTCCCTTTTGGCCTAAATTTTTGAATTTGTCCTTGACTTGCCTTACTTCCTCCACCCCCTGTAGTTCAGCACTGGACTGGAAATCAAAAGGCCTAGGTTCTGGGTCAGCTTTCTCTCAATGTAACAGTTCTAAGTACAATCATGCCTTTGAGCCCCATTTCATCTGTAAAATGAGGTTAAGAATTATACAAATGTTGTACTTAGTAAATGAAAGCCTTCTACTAGAGGCGCCCCACCCTGGCTGCATATCAGAATAACCTCTGAGCTTTTACAGAGTACAAACGAATGCCACGCCCCAGCCAACATCTTCTGAATTGGAATTTCTGGTGTAGGGTTCCGCCACAGGTATCTTCAAGAGGTCAAACAGATAATGCTCACAAATAGCTTGGGCTGAAAACCTCTGCTTCAAAGGTAAGAAATCGGTCCCAGGAGGTGGCTTTTCACTCATCTACTCTGATTTATGAAGAAAAGTAAATTTATGGAAAATAGACATCAGATGAAGTCCATTTTAGGCAGACCTGTTTGGCATATTCATTATACTTTAAAGTAAAACCACCAGAAATATCTGCAATAATTAACCCTCCTATTTACTTGTTCATGTACTATAATGGTTTTGACTAAAATCACTACATTCCCCTTGCTGCTGTAAGAAAGAGAGAGATTTGGGGTAAAACAGATGTAATCTGTAGCTCTGCTATGATAACTGTTGCTCTAGGGGACTGACTCAGTTGAACATGGGACATGAATAAAATTGCATTTTGTCCAAAAGATCAACACAGATCAGGACCAAAAGATGCAAAAGGATAGGGCAATGTGAACACCTGCCTTTAGAACCAGTGGCCCATCATTATGGTCCTAAATATACGTATCTGTACCAACACAGAAGTTTTCCCAATTCTTGGGTTAACCTACAACCTAAAATAGAAGACACGAAATCTCATGATGAAGAATCATCTAACAGGAATTTCCTGACTGATAGCAATGTTTTCAAACCTTTACGAAGTGCAATCAAAATTTGTAAAATAGGCTAATTTACAACAGAGAAGCTGTGATTGAAGCTGGCTGGTCTCAAATCTTGGCCCTCACTGCCTTCTGGTCCTTTGCCGGCTTTTCTCACCAGTCTGTCTACTTTTTGGACAACCCTGGGGTTCCAGTAGATGTGGTTTTAAAACCACCGTCTGCTTTTTAAATAGTCAAGGGGAGAACGAGCAGGTGCCCACATGCTTCATAACTTTTCATGTCTTTAAGCTATTAAGTGCCCTTCAATTTATCTTAGTTCCATGCTGCCACTTCCCTGTTATATTGGAAGTATTGGCCATCCATATGTAATTCACTTTAGAGAGACTAGTGAACAGCTTACCCAACAGGTTTGTATAAACCCAACATTCTCAGATTTTGCTCAGCACACAGAATCTGTTGTTCTGGAGCATGTGGCAAGAAATCTATTTAAAATATGTCAGAAAATGTTTAAAGGCCTAATATTTTTCCTTTAGTATGCATAGGAATCCCATTGGTTTTAAATTTTGTTCCTGGGTATGTGGAGAGTTTTATCCAAGAATGCAAGGCACAACCTACTCAAAATAGAATAATCTGGAAGTTGTTTCTCTTCACTTGTGCCTACTAATAATTAACTAAACACAGAAACATGCGCTAACACAGCATCTCTTAGCTCTCAAGCACGTTTAATGTTACCAGCTTTCCCACTACCAGACAGTGTTCTGATTCCCCCAAGTTTGACCTACCCCAATTTATTGCAGAATGTCAGAGGAAAGGGGCAACCGCCTGGCCTCATTATCGGGATTTACCCTCCTTGGACGGATTCTGCAATTTGGTTTGAACCAGCCTCTTAGACAGGTGCCTTTCACTGAGATCCAGCACACATACTAGGCTGAACCCTATGAAACTGCAGCTATTTGACTATTTTTTATCTACAAGAATAGTAATTACTTATGTTCAACCAGTTTAATAGTCTTAATATTTTCTTATTAAAAAAAAAGATGCTGGTCATGTGCTTTTGAACTTGACTTAATGACTGAATGAGTGGCCTACTGACAAGAATTTCTAACTAGGTTTACTTGTCAGATGTTTAAAGCCCCAACACTTCTCCTTCACTGTGGACAGGTCTCATATAGGACTTGACCACATCTACTTACACAGAAGTCCTGCTCCATCATTCTCAAAGGCAAATGGAGCAGGCACCTGTCCATTCTTTTCTCAGTCATTTCCTCACCAAAAGGGGGGGTGGGGGCAGAGCAGATCAGTGCTCACTGAGACAGCCCGAGTTCTCTTAAAACTCATTTGCCGTTAAACAAATGCGCGGAGAGGCCTCCAACATGGAAAATAGCTTAGTCGTGTTCTTGCCTTCTCTTTATTCAAAGTTAAGGTAAACAAAATGGTACATATACTCTCCTAAGGCCTGACATATCCCTCTCAGGTCCTTTTAAATTACTGAACCGTAGAGAGGGAGAGCCTAATTTCTATCTCCCCATTATTTCTTCCTCAGACCAAACTGAATAAAATAAGATTATGTGGTTGGTTTGTCCACTTTCCCCAATTCCATGTTATTTCTCTATTTAATAAACGAGCAAAAACTCCTCTAACCTAACAATTCTGTCCCACTTTCCTAGAAATGAATTTCACCTCCTAAGCAAAAATAACTAATTTTAAACATCAAATCATTTTAAAGAGTATGCCCAGAAAAATGTATGGAAAAATTCTTCCTTTAATATTCCTAATTCTAAAACTTGTGGCAAAGTTAGTAACATATGCCTTAAAAACTGTGAATTGCAAAGGAAACATAACAAATCTTGGACTTTTGTTTTTTATTTTTAATCCTTCCATGAGGACATGCTTTGTTTTAGAGAGAAAGGAAAGGGGAGACACAGACAGAAACACAGATGTGAGAGACATCAGTCGGCTGCCTCTTGAACATGCCCCGACTGGAGAGCAAACCTGCAGCCCAGGTATGTGCGCCAACCTGGAATCAAACCCGCAGCCTTGTGGTATACAGGACAATGCTCCGGCCCACTGAGGCTCCTGGCCAGGGCAACAGTTCTTGGACTTTTAAACTGTGTCACAGGCCCTGGCTTGGTGGCTCAGTTACAGTATCGACCTGATGTACCAGGGCTGCAGGTTCAGTCCTCAGTCAGGGTACATGTAAGAATCAACAAATGAATGCATAAAAGTGGAACAAATTGATGTTTCCTTCTCCTCTAAAATCAATAAAAAGTATGTATCTTTACCATAAGGTCCTTAACTCCTGAGTCGTGAGGATGTCGCCCAGATTTGCTTCTCAATTCCACATTGCTTTGAAAATACATTTATTTCTAGGGGTAGGGCAGAAGCACTGGGATTTCTTAAAAGCTCATCCAGGCATTTTAATGCAAAACCACGATCCAGGATGACTGTTAGTCATAGTTAAAAGCAGCAACATCCTAACTCAAAAATAGCCCTCAGCAGCACAGCTGGCCCTCTGATACACCCCGCACACCACCAAAGACCTTGGAAAAACCCTCCAAAGGCCTCCCTCAAATCCTGGGACTCCACTGACTTGCTGCTGTCAAGATCCCCAATCTAATTACACACTTTAACCAAAGTCTCCCATTTCTCCTCCAACTATATTATTCCTTCCCGCCTGCCATTCAATCTCATTAATGTGAGGGCAGCCAGAAAGAGTTGAGCTAAATTACTGGAAGTCAACCAAAATGGCAGGATAACTCCTGTGATTTGAATGTTCCCTCTCAAGCCAAAAAAACTAAAATGCAAAAATTTCAGTATTTTCAGCAATTGTAACAATTTCACTTATTTTCAGTGATTTTTTAAAAAGTATTCCATACTTTTTTTTTTCCATAGAATATTTGTCTTGGTAGCAGCCTAATGTGAAATGGGCGAGAGCAACAATCAGGAAAAGTTCATGTAAGGTACAAAATACTGTATTATTAAACAGTGGCCTTTCCACACATTTCCCTTTGGCTCTTTTTAATTCTACCAGAAATTCTTCTACCAGGAAGGAATTTACTTTAAAGTGTATCTTCCCCAAACAAGGCACAAACTCACAAGATTAGTAAATTCCTCTGACTAAAGAACCCAATTCAAGACCCTTTCCATAATAAAGTTCTCTTGCCTGGAATTTCAATGCTATCTTTAGTTTTTAGGATACCACAAAATTCCACTATTTGACAGTACCTAGAGAAGTGAGTCAAAAGAAATGTACCTACCTGATCCCTTCTAAGAATTCTTGGGGGCAAGCTTCCCACAGTCTTACAATATAGATTGTAAAAATAGGTTGGTAGCAAAATAAAAGTTCAGTTGATTTAACTTATACATAACACAGCCAACAATCTACTGAATTCCTGTTTCTGGGGAGGCTCATTCTCTAAAGACACGGATAATGTAAAAAAAGACCAAATTGCAACAGAGGCAGAGTGAATTTAGTGAACAAGGGTGACAAGGCATGAGGGCACATGGGGGCTGTACACAAAAGTGCCACACTGTGGGTAGACACTAGGGGTGGGAATTTGGTTTCTTGAGAACCAGTACTGGAGAACTGGAATTTAATTGGAACAGGCATCAGGAAACCTATCTCTAGTCCCAGTTTTATAGCCATTTAGCTGTGTGACAAACACCCTCTTGATTTCAGTTTCCTCATCTCTAAAATGGATTAGAATGACATAATCTTTTTCTATCTTTCCTGCTCTAACATTCTGTTCGGTTCTATAGCTGCAACCTTTCCCCATACATGTGAATTTAAAGACAGTAGTGACCCGCATATCTAAAGCTGTAAGAAATAGCCCTGGCTGGTGTGGTTTAGTGGATTGAGTGCCTGCGTACGAACCAAATGGTCGCCAGTTCAATTCCCAGGCAGGGCCCACGCCTGGGTTGCAGGCCAGGTACCCAGTTGGGGCTGCGTAAGAGGCAATGATACACTGATATTTCTCTCCCTCCTTTCCTCTCTCTAAAATCTTAATAAAGCTGTAAGGAATATGGATAAACACTTTCTGTCCTTCAACACCCTCAAATAAAACAGAGTATTTTCAGTTAGGGAATGTTTACTTAACAAGGTGAACCCTAAAAGGGTTAAGTGATCTATCAGCATAACTAGCTAAACCAGAATTTTTCCCTAGCTGCAAGTGCTAATGCACCATCTCAGGTAGTTGTTACAGAAAAGAATGCTTGGGAGTAAATCCACACATTATGACCCATTTTTCTATTTTTAGCTAGTGAAGTTGCATATTTTGAACTGCCTAAGCTTTTTGAACAAAGAGGCTGAAACATCAGTTCCTAGTTATTTCTATAGCTTTGTTACTGTTTTGCTAGTCTGTCAGAAATGAAAAGTATCTCCATTTCTTCCTTGAAATGTTACTTCTAGGGGGCCTATTGTTGTCATGTCTTTTCCTAAACTTCAATTTTCTATTTAATATTCCTCAGAATAAACAAAACAGCTCATTTTAAACAAGAAGTTTATTTAAACAACAAGACGCTTGACTTGAAGGGAAAACTACCTAGGATTCATTTCTTTTAGAGTAATTTATCCCTACTTAAAGACAGGTTGCCCTACATGTAACAGCTACGTACAAAAAAGTTATAAAATTGTCCTTGGTTTTACAATGATAAATGAAAAACATTAAAATTCTCCAATCAAACAAGGTATGCAAGAGTTTTTATGTTGTTCTTTTTTTTGTTAAACAGCGAGAGCAAAATAACTTACTGGAATATAAAGATAAGAGCTGAATGAGCATGCCACTAATGGAGAAAGGGGGTATCTTCACAGAACCAGTTATTTTTCCCCATCCCATCTCCATGTGATGTCAATCAAAACATACCATTGGCCATTTAGTTAAAAAAAAAAAAATGCAAATGCTTGTGCACATACACCAGTTACTTTATGTACAATAAAGGAATGGGGAAAGGGAAAATGAAAGAATAGAGAAAACTATACTGTAGTAGTCAGGATGTGGTGGAACCAAATTGCAGTTTTCTAATTGAGAATGTCTTCTTGGTCTGGAGGAACAGAGTTCTGAAGTAAAGTAGCAGGTTCCCTTTTTAGTAGACACCTCCTGTCTGCTGCTGGAACACATCAATTGTATCTTCATCCTCCATTTCCAACTAGCGTAAAGGAAAAAAACAAATTGAAAGCCATTGATTATTCAGCTCTTAAAAGCTGTAACGATCACCCTGGCCAGGTAGCTCAGTTGTTAAGAGCGCTGTCCCGATGCACCAAGGTTGCAGGCTTGATCCCCAAACAGTATATACAAGAAGCAACCATGAGTAAGTGAGCAAATCAATGTTTTTCTTTCTCTAAAATCAGTAATTTTTTTTGAATTTATAACTATCAGACTTAAATATCCTGAAAAACTGCTCAAGTTTTACCAAATTCCAATGTTTATTAATTTAGACATCCCAGAGCCTAATTAAGGATTGGCCTTAGGTTTAAGTAATTTTTCACATGGTCTTCTCTTTTATGAAGATTATAAAAAGTAGTTTTTAAGTTAAAAACTGAGTATGTCTGCCCTGACCAGTGTGGCTCAGTTGGCTGGGCACTGTCCTGCCAAATGAAAGGTCCCAGGACAGTGTGTACGAGAGGCAGCAGATCGAAGTTTCTCTCTCACTTCAATATTTCTCTCCCTCTTTCTCCCCGCCCCTCCCCCTCTCTAAAAATAAACAAAATCTTTAAAAAACTGAATATGTCTATGAGTCAAGTCACCTCCTGCAATTACCGAAAATTAAGAGTTATGTGTATAAAGGATCTCACTATGTGGTTTAGATGAATAAAAAACTGGAAATTACCTAAATATCAATAGAAACCCAAAGAAATATGGTACATTTATACATGAAATACCATATAGCTGTTATTAAAGAATACGCAAAGGGACTTCCAGTTAAGTTGGTGGCATCGATAAACATGGCTCACCTCCTCGCACCTCATCAAAGTTACAATGAAAATAGAACCTTCAGAAATCAAGTTGAATGGAAGTCTGACAACTGAAGACTTAAAGAAACCACATCCCTCCAGACTGGTAGGAGGGGTGCAGACGTGGAACAGGCTGGTCCCACATCCACATGTGGTGGATAAAAATTCGGGAGGGATATCTTGGGAGTCAGGAGTCCCAGCCCCACACCAGGCCCCCCAGACCAAGGTTCCAGTGACAGAAAGGTAAGTCCCATCACTCCTAGCTGCAGAAACCGGGGGGGGGGGGGAATTGAGTCAGTGGAAGAAACTGCTAGAGTCCCAAGCAGTTCCCCTTGAAGAACCCATACATGGACTTACTCAGGCTCACTCATTCCCCCGAGCTCCAGCACTGAGGTAGCACCTTGAGCGGCACCAGTGGCACACGGGGAGGAACTGAAGTGTCTTGCCTCAAGGTGGGAGCTGGAGGACAGTTTTCTCCCAGATAGAAAGGTGGGCAGAGACCACTGTCCCTTTTCTGAGCCCTCCCCACCACAGAGCCACAGAACCACAGAACCAGCAGGCAGGTATCATATCTGAGACTCCATCAATCTGGCTAATACTGTTTGCCCCACCTTGGAGTCCCACCCGATTTACAACCTGTTACCCTGTTACCCGTGACTTTTCCATATGAATGGCTGGTCCTGGTAAACGCTTCACAACTTCCTAAATCCTGTCAAACAAGCAACTGCCAGCCTCAGTGAGCCCCAACCAGCTCCCCAGCAACCCTTGCTAAGTGGCCCCAGGCCCTGCATCGGCAGCAGCCAGCCTAGACTCACAGCTGGGCTTCGCCTGGGAGTCTCCAAGCCCAGCCCAAGCAGCAGCCATCTCCTACGGCTTTAAAGCTCAGGCAGGGTGGCCCTGGGCAGAACACAGGAGGGGGCTGACCTTGGCCTGCACCACCCAGGATGCCCCAGGGCCTGTGCACTCACTGGACAGCTACAGACCAAGTCGGAGCACCACCGCCCTGCCCCTGCACCGCTGATCCTCTGTGGAGAGTGGAGGGTAGAGGTTGGTGGTCAGTGGTCACATCCAGTCCTTGCAGTTGACTGACCTGGGTAAATCCCTCCCACTGACCTGCCAACAGTAACCAAGGCTCAACTACAAGAGGAGGGTGCAATCAGCGCACATGAAGGGCTTACCTCAAGTACCCACTTTGGGTGATAGAGGAGGCTGTGCCACTGGTCCCTGGACCTACAGCCAAAATTGCTCTACCCAACAGAGCTGTCATTTAGAATCAAAGGGCAGATAAAGAGCTTCCCAGACAAGAAAAAACTAAAGGAGTTCACCATCATAATTGTTCACCATTATTATATGAAATGTTAATGGGACTTTTTTAAGAAAAAGATCAAAACTATGAACAATAAAATGGCAATAATCTAAAATACTAAGCAAACAACAACAGAGACAGATTTACAGATATAGAGAGCAGTTTGGTGGTTGCCCGATGGAAGGGGGTTGTGGGAGAATGGGTGAAGAGGTGAGGGGATTAAGGAGTACAAATAAGTAGTTACAGAACAGCCATGGGATGTAAATAAAGTACAGTACAGGAAATGGAGCAGCAAAGAACTTATTTGCATGACCCATGGACAGGAACAATAGTGTGGGGATTGCCTGAGGGAGGCGGGGGTGCTGGATAGAAGGGGGCAAAGGGAGAAAAAAAACCAGGACAACTCTAACAGTATAATCAATACAATTAAAAATAAAATTGAAAAGGAGTAAGCACAATTACACAACAGAAGTAGAAATATCCCTAGGATTCTAGTATTAGGCTAAAGACAAAATTTAAAAACTAGGCAACATTTGTATTTTTAAGTGTTATGTGTCTGTAATGAGAATATATCCTTGCCTGTGCACAAATCAGTGGTTACCTCTATGCAGGAAGGCAATGGATAAAACATTGGGGAAAACAAACAAACCAACAACAACAACAAAACCCAAACCAACCAATCACTAATTCAAATTGTAAAATGCAATTCACAAATTAAGTTTGCAAGGTTCACTACCCACACATTATACATAAAACAACTATGTTGACAGTAAAAAGGTTTTGGTACATACAGCAACACTGGAAAGTATATGAGCTTTGTAATGGTTTTGGTTTTTTTTTTAAAGACTTTACTTATTTTTAGAGAGGGAAAGGGAGGAGAAAAACATCAACGTGTGGTTGCACCTCACGAGCCCCCTTACCGGGGACCTGGCTTGCAACCCAGACGTATGCCCTGCACTGGGAACTGAACCAGCAACTCTGGTTCGCAGGGTCACTCTCAGTCCATTGAGCCATACCAGCCAGGGCTGTAATGGTTTGTGTGCTGACAATTACCCTTGAAAATTCCTTCCTAGCCCTGGCTGGAGTGGCTCAGTGGAATGAGCTCTGGCCAGAGAACCAAAAGGTTTCCAGTTTGATTCCCGGTCAGGGTACATGCCTAGGTTACAGGCCAGGACCACAGTTGGGGGTGTGCGAGAGGCAACCAAGCGATGTTTCTCTCCCTCTTTCTCCCTCCTTTCCCCTCTAACATAAATAAAATCTCTATTACCAAAAAAAAAAAAAAAAAAAAAAAAAGAAATCCTTTCTAAAAGCTGGTAATTTTTAGGATAAGCTGGGGCACCTAAAAATATGAAAGAGAACTATTTCTAATAAACTTGAAATATACTCAAAGTAGAGCTAAAGTATTAAAATATTACTAAATGAGTCTTAATTCCCTCTTTTGTAAAATGGAATAGCATTCAGTCGAGAAATAAGTCAAAGGAAGTATTTAACAGAATGATGGGCATATAATAATTATACTGGTATTAAAATTGGCTGATAAGATTTTCTAATTCATTACAATTCCTCAATTTAATATTGGGAGAACAATTCTAACAGATCAATTTCATTCTAAAGTGAATTCTAAATACCAAAATGAGTTCAATTCTAAACTCATTTGAAGATTTTGTAATTAAGTTCTGAACAAATCCTCCTCACAGTTTAGTATTTGCAGAATTATTTTGTGGTGATTGGGGAGGGCTTTATAAGACAGAAAATATATTCTAGCCCTGGCCAGGTAGATCAGTTGTTGAGAGTTTCATTCCGATCCACAAAGGTTGAGGGTTTGATCCCTCATTAGGGTACACAAAGAAATTAACCAGTGAATGCATAAATAAGTGAAACAAGAAAAATGGATGTTTCTTCCTCTCTCTCAAATCAATAAAAAAACAACTTAAAATAAAAGAGCCCTAGGGGGTAGGCAGAGACAAATGTATTTGAAAAAATAAATAAATTTTTTAAAAAAAGAATAAAAAGAAAGAGCCCTGGCTGGTATGGCTCGGTGGATTGAGTGCCGGCCGTGAATCACAAGTTTGATTCCCAGTCAGGGCACATGCCTGAGTTGCGGGCCACGTTCCCAGTTCGGGGCACGTAAGAGGCAACCAATCCATGTTTCTCTCTCACAAAGATGTTTCTCTCCCTCTCTCCCTCCCTTCTGCTTCCACTTACTCTAAAACTAAATAAAATCTTAAAAAAAAAAAAAAAGAAACAAAATCACTCTAAAACTAAATAAAATATTAAAAAAAAAAAAAAAGGAAACAAAAAATATATTCAAATTGTCACTGTTTAGCACAATGGATTCTTTTTATTCTTTTAAAACAATCAAAAGAGGTCTTTAGCCTAATTACTGAAATAAAATACTGGAATGTTAAATTTTATAGTGAAACTTTAAATCCCTTCGAAGGATAAAAGAGCCTTTTCTCTTTCATCAAGAGAATTCAGCTCCTCCTTGTGGCTAGGGACTATAATTGCTCCTTAGAGACTCACCAACAGAAATTTCTTCAAAATATTCTCTCAAGTATAACTCAGACATTTCAAATTTTTGAAGATTATCAACAAAACCACAATCTTAATGTGCTTACTCATACCATATTTATCAAAGTTTAGTTTTTATGGGGCGATAAAAAATCCTAAAAATATACGGGCTCTAATTCAAATTTCCTATTTAAATTTCTGCTTAAAAGACATTTGTCCCCAAAAAGGAAGTCCTAAATGGAACATGAAAAGGTAAAAAGAAGCAGAGTTCTGCGATAGAAGACTGCCCGGCAGATCTCTTACAAAGTGACAAAACAACTGAAGTGACAGGTAGAGATGAAGGGATCAGACAGCATTACCTTTTATAGTGAGGGTCTAGAAAGCAACCTATTGCTAAGGACCCTTTCTCTCAAACTAAGCTATCAAAAGCTTTGCAGTGACAGCCATTAGCTCCCTTTACCTCACAAGGACGGGTAAAAAAATTCAGTATGGGAATTAAAATGGTCAAAATCAAAAGCTAACTGGTTCACAGAACCCACGTATGATTAAGAGCTACAGCAACAAAAACAAGGAAAACAGCCCTGATCAGGCAGCTTAGTTGGTTCGAGCAATATCCTGATACTCCAAGGTTTTAGAGGTTTGACCCATCGTCAGGGCACATACAAGAACCAACCAATGACTGCGTAAATAGGTGGAACAACAAATCGGTGTTTCCCTTTCCCTTCTACCCTCTTAAAAAAAATCAATAAGTTTAAAAAAAATTAAAAGAAACGGACAATAGGGGAAAAAATGGATTAAAGTAACTAAATGACCTACTAGCTTTACTAACCGATAACCAGGTCTTTTAAAACAACTATCATTTCCTCAATCTATTTCTATGTATTTGTCTTTGTTCCCCTTTGATATTTTACATAGGCCTGAATTGTGGTAAAGAATTATATTCCAACATCTAAAAATTCAGATAAATAAAGCTGTTGAGAAAATTACCAAAAAAACTGATTTTTCTAGTTAGCACAAAGAGATTTTTACCTGTGCAGGTGTGTCTGTTTCATTGATTGGCTGCCCGTCAAATCGGAATCTGATCTGCCTCATTGACAAACCCTGGACGAGAGAGTTTAAAAGCAGTAAGAATGCAAACAGTAACAAATAAAACTGTAGGCATATTTAGCCCTGAATGTATTAAGAGAAAGGACTAAATAAATCATCATCAATATGCTAACAACATTTCTATGTGGGTAAAAAGATCTGGGGTGACTTTCGCTTTGTCTTTGATTTGGAAAAATGGTTTTTAAATAAAGGTCTTCTTAAAAAAAGCTCTCCTGTTTTGAGACGACAGCTATTCCAAGCTTGAATAGGTCATACAATGAGCCAAACAGTATATTTAAGATACTAAAAGGAAATTTAAAGAGATGCATACAGCAATACTCTTCAATGTATGTTAAAGAGATCTCCAACAGAAACATAAAAGTCACCTATGAAGATGTAATGATTAAAATAAAATTTTGCCTAAAAGCCATCTCACCTTCGTTTTTATCCTAACAGTTCCTACCACTACACAGAAGTAACCTATGCCCCAACCCATCACGATGCTAAGCACACCAAGGGGTATTTAATAAGTTATCCATAGGCAGTTGGGACACTTCCACAAGAACACAAGGCAGTAACCGTCCTAAAAGCATTCATAAGACCACAATCCACTCATGAAATTCCTGGAATTTCCTTTTTAATGTCAATACTTACCTAAAGCTTCACGTATTACTTGTCAACCTATTACTAGAAAATAAACTTCAGGATCTCTCTGGCCAGGTAGCTCAGTTGGTTAGAGCATCATCTGGATACCCGAAGGTTATGGGTTTGATCCCCGGTCAGGGCACATACAAGAAGCAACCAATAAATGCACAAATAAGTGGAACAAATCGATGTTTCTCTCTCCTTTTCTCTAAAATCAATCAATCAATCAATCAATCAAGATGATGATCATCTTCAAAAAAGAAAACAAGCTTCACAAAGAATAGGAACCCAGACTGTCTTGGTCACCCTGTACTCCTTGCACATAGTAGGTGCTCATTAAAATTCTGATGGAATAAAATGGATAAAATGCAGTATCCACCTAACCCTGCCTTTTCATTTAAAAATTAATCTAAAGTTATTAAGTTGGGAAAGATTATTATAAAAAGGAGAATTTTTAACCCTGACCAGTGTGGCTCCATTGCTTGGCCGTCATCCAGCAAAAAGGTCGCTGGTTGGATAGCTGGTCTGGGCACACGCCTAGGTTGCAGGTTCAGTCCCGTCAGGGTACTTATGGGAAGCAACTGATGCATGTTTCTCTCCCTTTTTCCCTCCCTTCTCCTCTAAAATTAAATATTTAAAAAGGAGGAAGAATTTTTATTTTTTGATTTTATTTTTATTTATATTTTTAGACAGAGGGGAAGGAAAAGGAAAGAGAGGGAGAGAAACAGCAGTGTGTGGTTGCTTCTCATGCACCCCGTCCTGGGGACCTGACCTGCAACCTAGGCATGTGCTCTGACTGGGAACTGAATTGGTGACCCTTTGGTTTGCAAGCCAGCACTCAATCCACTGAGCCACTCCAGCCAGGGCCGAATTTTTAAATTATACCACTAGAATATAGCTTCAAGGTATTTTTATACACACTGAGGAGATAAATGAGCCTAAACATGCCCCTTCTGCAAAGGGGATTCCAGTGTTTTACTAATCAAGCATCACCTTCCTAACAGAGGGGTAGGGAAAATGGGAATGGAACAAAGCAGTGAAGCTGCTGGTAACTATAGCCAAATGAGGACAAGGTAGAAAAATAAAGGGTCTTTGGAGGTGCACCGTACAGGTATTACCTTTAAAGACAGCTTTCTAGAAAGCATCTTACAAAGTCACTCCTGTATCATGCTCAAATTATAAATTATAATTATTCAAATTCTGTGCTTCAATAAATATTTGAGAAAACCGAGGTCCTAGGACTAAAAACATTCAAAGTGCTGAACCAATACCTGTATAACACCTGTATTCCCTTAACGAATTGTTGAATCTGTCTTTAAAACTACCTATTATCATTAAGATCATACTACTTTCCTTAAAACTCTAGCCTTTAACACATACCACTTTCAGACTAGCCCTGTCTTGAGAAACACAAGTGATCTCCCACTAGATAGGTGACATCCACACCTTAATTCCTCATGACTTTCAATTTTGCCAGGTATTATGTATTTACAAACACTCCACTGAAGACTCCTTGCTTCAAGAAAATACTGAGCACCTTCTATACACTGGGTTCTTCCTTCACTACATCCAAGAGTAAGGTCACAAGGTCAGTGGTGTGGCCATTCAAAATTAAGTGATGGGAGGATGGGGGCGGCAGGGCCAGAACGTAAGAACATTGTATTTATGTATTGCATAAACTGTGTAAATTCAAAGAATTTACATTAAACTAGTACTGGGACTCCTCCTCTGAATAAATCTCATCCCTATGCTTTAGAGTTGTGCTGAAAGTTGAGTGAGCTTCTCTCTCTGGATTCATTTTCTCATTTCACAAAAATGAATTAGACTGAACCAATAAATCTGTGTTCTCTGAAACCACCTGACACTCCATGGAATAATCTGTTAGGGTAAATCCACACCAGAATGGAAAAGTATGCTCTTAATCAGTTAGCTGAAGGTTATGTGGCCGACATAAAGTAGGCAAACTCTAATTCTACACGTGAATGAAAAACTTACAAACCAATCTCTGGAGATGTCTGAATGTTCTGCATCATTTTACAGGCCATTTTACTGAATGGGTTCGATATGCCAGGTACTGGTCTAGGCTCTCGAGAAACAGTGAACGAAAAGGCCCCATGCCCATGGAGCTTACATGTTTTTGTACAGAAGACACACAGACAATTAAGAAAATAAAACAAATGAGGATGAGAGGATTGAGTAATGGGAGCAGCAGCTCTTTGAACTAATCAAAGACATCTCCAAGGTAATAACTTGGCAAGAGTGGAATGAAATGGTTGACAGCCCCGCTTTGCTATCCAACAGAAATATGAGAGCCACATATGCATATTTTATAGTTGCCATGTTAAAAATTTTAAAATTGGTAAAATTTTAGTAAAATATTGTAATTCAGCCTATTCAATACCTATTTCTACCCTGACTAGTATGGCTCGGCAGACTGAGTGCTGGCCTGTGAACTAAAAGGTCACCGGTTAGGTTCCCAGTCAGGGCACATGCCTGAGTTGTGGTCCACGTCCCCAGCTGGGGGTGTAGAAAAGGCAACTGATGGATGTTTCCCTCCCTCTCTCTAAAAATAAAAAAATTTTCAATATGTAATCAACATTTAAAAAATTGAGATATTTTACTTATCATGCTGAGTTTTCAAAATCTGTGGTATGTCACACTTTATAGCACATCTCAATTCGAACTAGTCACATTTTAAGGGGTAAATATTCACATGTGGTTTTTTGCTACTATCCTAGACAGCAAAGGTCTAGATAGAGAAGAGAATGTGCTGATGGCTTATATGAGTTAGGAAGCACCATCCAAGATGACCCCAAGGTTTTGAGTGCGGAACCAGATGTTGAATGGTGCTGTTTACTGAGTAGAGGACACCAGAGAACAAGATTTCTGTAAGTAAAATCAAGAGTCCTCTGTTGCACGTTCAATTTGAGATCAAGACTTTGGCCTTACAAACTAAAGAAATATTCTAGCCCTGGCTGATGTGGCTCAGTGGATTGAGCGTCAACCTCCAAACCAAAAGGTCGTGGGTTCAATTCCCAGTCAGAGCACATGCCTGAGTTGCAGGCCAATGTTTCTCTCCCTCTTTGTGAAAGTAAATAAAACCTTAAAAAAAAAAATTCTACTGTTTCGATAGCTTGTACCCACACCTAACACGCAGGGAATCAGCCCAACTGGGATATACTTCAACTCCCTCTTCCTTAGAATGTGAGGAACCATTTGAAACTGAAAACAGGGATCTTGTTTCACTCAAAACTCCAAGGTTTTTCCCAATTTAAGAGGGAAATAGAAATATCTATCTAAACCCTTCTTGAACCATATCTTCAAATTGTATCTGCCTTCCCAGGAAAGCAGTGGAATTAATTTTTTATGAATTACCAGTGCTCCTTTTTCCTGCAGTGCAAATTAAGAGTGGTCCCAACAAGTTTAGTCAAATATAAGCCCAATAACTGAAAAAAATCAAGTAAAACTATTTTTGCACTGGGTAATACACCAAATTTATTTTAACACAGCAGGAAAACTAAAAAAATTCTTGACTTTCCCACCAACATGATCTTTTAGGACAATCTCCCATAGGGACAATCTGAAATAGAGGATGTGCTATGTGTTTTTGTTTTCCTTGCACATAGTATAATGCCCCAGCACATGGTAAGCATGTAGTAATTATCAGATAAATAAAAAGATCCTTTGGGGCCTCTGTGAGAAATACAGGAAGTCTTTATTTTCATAAGGGTTGAAAAATACGACCATTTAAAGGCTAATATTTAGTAAATTAGAGAAAACTTAAGATATGCAGAGAATTTTGTTGAAAACCACCAAATCTAAAGATAAGTTTCTATTTTGTAAAAGTTTTGGCTACTTAGAAGTTCTACAAAATGCTTAGCTCTAAAAATTCTCCTATAACCTGAAGGGGAGCTAGTGTTCAAATATGAAAAATGCCAGTGCAAAAAAATCTAGCACAATTAAAAAGTACATATTCACTAATTGTTAGGGATATTTTACCAAAATTCTTCAAACAAGGGTGTATCTTATCTTTCTTTGTAAGGATATATAAAAAAGTTACATATGACGATAAAGAATTAGAAGCACAGTGTTCTCTTATTATGCTATAAATAAATCAGACATAAAATAAAGCTGCAAATTCAAAAAGGAATTTATATCTTCAGTTTCTTTCAAATGCCCTTATATCTCATGGAGGAAGCTCAAGTTTCACTTCAAACTCAATTTCCCAGCTTCTATAGGTTTAAGCCTTATTCTATTTTGAGACTATTTGGGGGGGAAATTAGCAATTTAGATAGGTTGTTTTAGTCTAAAAAAAATAAGTTTTTCAACTTTCATATATTATATATTCAACGTTGAGCAGAAAAAATACATCTGCCAGGTTATTACTGTATTAACTGATCTAGGTACCAGAGTTTTTGTTATACTTGCAAAAGTCATTTTTAGTTATACTATTACAGACTCATCACAAAGGGGAGCTTCTTTGTCTTAAAGCGTGCATTTACCTCCCAGCATCTGTTCATTTCTACTTCCTCTTCTTGATGCCTAGTTACTACAGTCTGAGTAAAATGTAAATGTTTCTAATATAAAAATGTTTATGCTTGGCTCAGGTTAAATTTCTTGACCTCTACTATTAGGGTAAAAAAGAAGTATTAAAATTTTACATGGTTCAGGGAAATGGCAATGTCCTTAAACACACTTAATATTTCCAAACCGATTAAAATATTTAAAATGGTTTTGACTTAAGTCAAATTTTAAGTGACGGGGAAAAAAGATGGGGGGAGAGGGATATAAGGCAACTCAATGGCAATGGGAAAAAATATAGTACAGATTATCTACTAAATTTAAAGAGAGCTAGCAAGCCGGACAAGAAAATTTACCTTGTTCATTCTTATTTTCTTATACTCCCTTGGAAACAAACCACAAGTTGTGAGTATAATATGATGCATTTGTGGCACAAGACTGGAATCATAGGTTAACCAAACCATCCTAGGGTTTTTCACAAAGAATCAACATACCAAATGTATGATAAAGGACGTTAAGTGCATGTTCAGTCTGCCAAAAATCAGTCTACTGTATTATGCTAGTCTAGTTTCTATTCTCATGAAAATAAGGTTTTTTTTATTTAAACAAGTTTTATTCAGTGAAAGTCCATGTCAGTTCCTCACCTGTCGTTCACAATAGGCTTTCATTAGTTTACTAAGTGGTGTATGCCTCTTAATCTTAAACTGCACCACAGAACCATCCTGCCCCGCCACCTTCAAATTAATATGATCGTTGTTCTCAGTCTTGACTCCTTCCTGTTGAAAGAAAAATAAGAGTATAATTTGGAAAATGTGAAAAACAAACACCTTTTAAAGCAGCTGCAGCCCAAGTTGCTTCAGAAATCAACAGGTTTCTCATTCTGTATGATAAAAGAGCATATAGCTGTTTTCAGCCGCTGAAATCAATCTGAAAAAATGAGAAATCCTCGAGCAACAATATTAGATAACTGTCACAGAAACAGAAAAGAAACCTCATGCAGTGCGATCAGTGGCAACAACTGATTTTAAATGATGGGTCCCACTCAATTTACTGCAATGCTCTCTTGAATTGTCCAAAATGGCCTATTTTATGTCATTTTCAAAGAAAATATTTTCCTTAAAAAGATTAAAAACGAGTTTTCTTTCTCTTTTCAAAGTACTTTAAGTACAGAATGCGGGGAGGGGAGCTCTGGAGCTTGCAATTCAAAATCATTACAATTCTCTAGTTAAAGTCACCAAACCCGCTTGGTTTTATAACTTAAATCTCAAGCTACATTTAAAAAAAAAAAAAAAAAAGAAAGCCAAACACCCTAATTGAGGAATACCCTGATATTCTCCGAAGCAGCGGGAAAAACTCAGAACCCTATTAACGTTCACTTCTATTAGCAGCTTCATTTTGTTTATTTTTAGTTAAGAGCTCCTACTCTCCCCTCCCCTTTGTTGACATGAGTCAAATGCACAGTGTATTCCAAGTCCTCCTTGCAGATTTCGACCCAATCTGAAGTTCACCAAAATCAAGGGTGGAGGAACTCTGTAGCCCTTCAATCACTTCAGGAAAGAAAGGGAGGGTACCGCAAAACAAACCGAAAGAAAAGCCCCGCGTGCCAGGCACAAGCGTGTGCCCCAGTCCTCACGGGAAAAGCCTCCTGGTGCAGCAAGACCGCGCTGAAAAGTTAAGCCCTTTCTAGTCTCTAAGATGTAGTAAGTCTCCGCTCGTACATCTGCCTCCAACTTCTCGAAACCACATGGTCTCCACAGATTGGGGGTTATTTAACCCCCAAGGAAAAGCCCCCGCCCTTCCCCCCTCCCCGTCTTGGGACTCTGAGGTCTTTAAAGTAGGAAATACTCCCCGGGAATCCCCGGCCCCTCACAACGGCCCGACGGGCATCCGGCTCCCAACCCATCGGCAGCCCATTGATTCGTCCCGAACCCTCACCCGGCCACTGCGGCCCGGGGCAGGGGGTCCGAAGATGCCCGCAGCTCTCATCCCTGTGGGGGGTCAAGTTCCGGAGGGAGGGAACTCCCCACCACCGAGGAGGCGGCAAAACGCGCCGCAGCTCCGCGCGGGATCCGCGGAGGGTGGGGACACTGCGCGCCTTAACGCCCCTCCTCACGCGCGCCCGCCGGGCCGGGCCCGAGAAGCCCCGCTCGCAGCCGGTTGGCCTGCGAGCGTCCGCGATCCGCCCGCCCTACTCGCGCCCGGCGCGCACTCCGAGGCGGCCGGGGGCGGGGGAGGGCCGCGGGGCCTCCTCCGGCGCGGGAGGAAGAGGGGAGGGAGAAAAATGGCGCGGAACGCCAGGGCCTGAGCCGCGGCCGGCCCATGGGGGGCCCGGGAAGGCGCGGGGAGCCCGCGGCGGCTTGGGCCAGCCCCCGGCCCGCGCCGTGACCACGCCGCGCGGCGAGGCGAAGGGGCCGGCGGCGAGCTCACCTTGGGCTTTTCGTCGGCCATGGCGAGCGCCGGAGTCTCCTCAGCTACCGCTTCACAAAAGAGGTACCAGGTCCGCACCGAAGGAGCACACAAGCAGCACCAGGAGCGGCAGAAGAAGGAGGCGGCAGCGGTGGAGGAGGGAGAGGGCGCGCGCACGTTGTGCGCTCCCTCCCCCCACCCTACGTGCGCGAGCACGAGCCGCCGGGCCTTCCCATTGGCTGCCGCCTCGCGGGAGCGCGCAACGCTTACATAACCACCCCCGCCGCCCCGCCCCGCGCTGCCCCGGCCTGGGCCCGGCGCCCGCCAGGCCGGCGGGAAGAGCAGCGGACACGCGCACCCTGCCCGCCGCGGGGGCGCGCCTGCTCTGGGCGGGGCTGTATTGTCCTTCTGTGGTGGAGCTTAATCAAAATGGCTTCCAGCTGGTCCTCGTAGAGGACGAGGAGGCTTGAAGCCTGGACGTGAGACATACACCGAGGAAGGTAGACTGACTGCACGAGGAAGGGGGAGCCTAAGTCATAGCCCCAGCCTGAGGTTCTAGGAAAAAAAAATCCCTCTTGTTCATTGAGCCAAATGCAGTTTCCCCCAGTTTAGAGGAACATCACACTTCCTCTCAGCCAGCTTCTCATCTTCGGAATCTTGAACCTTCAGCCTCAACCAGCTTCCCACTACTCTCTTGCCTCAGTTCAGTGACTACTAACCCCTCCTGGTAATCCTATACTTTGGCCAGCTGAGAAAAAATGTGCATCGTACAAAATCCTGACTCATGGCCGGGCCCCCGGCCTCCACGAGGAAACAGAATCCATCCTAGAGAACTACCCGCTCTCAAGCTTCCAATCCAGTCCGTCAGGTCCCTCCCCCTTTAAGGACAAATCCTGAACTCTACGCACTGGGTTCCCCCCACTCCTCCGAGGAAGTCTTATTATTTTCTTTGTCCCAGTATGTCCTTCCACTCCGTCAGCATAGAAAAAGAGTCGATTCTATTTCCATCGTAAGTCACCACCATATCTCCCTCCATTCTTGGCCACACATCTTGAAAAAAAAGGCCATGCCAGCTGTCTCCACTCCCTCACCTCCCACTCGCTGCTCAATCCACCGCAATCTGGCGCGGTCCTCGTGGCGCCCCGACAGCGGCTCTCCGCAAGGTCGCCGCGGACGGGGCGCGTACAGCGGGCGCGCCGCGTCGCGGCTCCTGAACGCCCTCCCTGAGCCTTCGGACTGTGACTCTGGTCTGGCGTGGGTCCCTGAGCATTGTTTTCCTCCCTCACCTCTTCCCTTAAATGTTCCCTGGGTTTTGTTCTAGACCCTTTCTCTTATCGTTCTATTCTCTCTCCTGGGACGACTTCACGCATTTCCGTGACCATCTATTTGTTGATGATTTTCAAGTCTGTATGTCTAGTCCAGATGTTTCTCCGTGCTAGCTTCCAACCTATAAATCCAACTGACTTTTGAGCACCTCCACCTGGGTGTCCGAAAGCCACCTCTTCAGATTCAGCAAATCTCAACTAAAATCGCTCACTCGGCCTTCTCCAGCCTGCCCCTCCCCATTGTCCCGATTGGGGATGGCACACCACTACCCATCGCTCCAAGCCCAAGCCGGGAACGGGGCGTCCTTGGCTCCGGTCTCTCCTTCACGCATTCCCCATACAATCCACCTCCAGGTCTTGTCCATTCTGCCCTCTAATACCTACCGAATATTCCTCCTTTTCTTCAGCCTCTGTCCAGTCTCTGTGTTAAGCAGCAGAAAACCTTAGACGTAAGACAAGCCAAGGAAGGAAGACTGATCTGGAAGGCAGGGGAAGCCTGAATTCAAGTCAGCTCTCCCCAGGGCTGCTGCAATTGCCTCCTAGCTGATCTTTTTGTTTTAAGGCAAGTCCCACTTGTACCTAAATATTCTTAAAATATTTATTTATTGATTTTACAGACAGAGAGAAACATCGACCTGTTGCTCCAACCATCAAGGCACTATTGGTTCCCTCTTGCATGAACCCAGACCAGGGAACTGAACCCCAAACCTTGGGGTATTGGGGCAATGCTCTCCACAACTGAGCTACCCTCCCAGGGCTGTACCTGAAGTGAATCCGAATCGACTAGGGTGCTGATTTAAATGCACATTCTTCGTGGGCTCGCCCCTCCTCGTCCTCTTGTCGCCATCTTTCCGTGCTGCCATAATGGTGCTCATGAATGTCCTGGCTGATGCTCTCAAGAGAGTCAACGAAGCTGAAAAGAGAGGCAAACGCCAGGTTTTTATTAGGCAGTGCTCCAAAGTCATCGTCTGGTTTCCAACTGTGATGATGAAGCATGGTTACTTTGGCAAATTTGAAATTATTGATGGCCACAGAACTGGGAGAATTGCTGTGAACCTCACAGACAAGTTGATAAGTGTGGAGTAATTGGCCCCAGATTTGATGTGCAACTCAAAAATCTAGAAAAAAATGGCAGAATAACCTGCTTCCGTCCTGTCAGCAGGGATCACGGACCATGAAGAGGCAAAACAAAAACACACAGGAAGGAAAATCCTGAAATTCTTTTTCTCAGGATATAATACATATGTTCAAATAAAATGCCTCCACGGCCCTGGGTGGTATGGCTCAGTGGATTGAGTGCCAGTCTGCAAACCAAAGGGTGGCTGGTCTGGTTCCGACTCAAGGCACGTGCCTGGGTTGCAGGGTGGGTCTCTTGTGGGGAGCGCATGAGAGGCAGCCACACATTGCTGTTTCTCTCCCCCTTTGTTCTATCCCTTCCCCTCTGTCTAAAAATAAATAAATAAAATCTTTTAAAAAATAAAATGCCTCAATCGACAATAAATAATAAATACATAAATTTTAAAAAATGCATGTTCTTGGGCACTGGGATCCCTCCTTTTAAAATGACATTTAAACAATTTTTTATTTATTGATGTTAGAGAGAGAAATATCAATTTGTTTGTCCTACTTATTTAAGTGTTCATTGGTTGATCCTTGTATGTACCCTGACAGGGGACTGAACCTACAACCTTGGTGTCTCAGGACGACACTCTAGCCAACTGAGCTACCTGTACAGAGATAGGGTTCCCTCCTTTTTAACAAGCTTCCCTGATGGTTTTTGTTTTTTGGTTTTTTTGGCATGTCATCCTTGTTCAGGGGCTAGGCTAATCTTCTCTGTATCATTCTAATTTTAGTATATGTGCTGTCAAAGAGAGCATGTCCCTTCTGATTATTAAGCACACTAAAGTCTGAGACACAAGCCATTCTAAAATCAAAACGAAGTAAGTTTCTGCCACTCCATGGTTCAATGGCGATCCCCTGCTTCATATAAATCCTAAAATTTTATAAGACCTACAAAACCCTTTAAGAGCTAATCCAGGTTACCCATTCTAACTCTTTCTTATAATTTCCTTCTGGAAGCCTCTGCTCCTTCAGTCATATTCAGTTTCTCGGGTTCTTGAATGTACCTCCTCTCCCTCAACTCTTAACGTTTTGTCCATTGTAAGTGCTTAAAGATTCACTGAATGCATCAGTAAATTGAAACTATCACATGCAAAAGTCCTGTGCTGGGTATTAGGGAGACAAAGAAAAGCAAAGTCCCTGTCTCAAATGTAATTTGGTGGGGTTGGGGGTGGGGTTAGGTAGGAAATACACAAGAAGTGAAAGGGGAAGAGAGCCAACGGTCATGCCTTGGGCACTGAGTGGGAGTTAATAATAGCTCATTTTCTTCTTATACAAATCTTTTAAGCAAGTGTACTATTTATTTGCAACTGAGGCTCAAAAGAGTTAAGTAACTTACCCAGTTTTACACAGCTGGCAGGTAATGTTGATTAAGCTCCTATTGTATGCCAGGGAATGAACATGCTGGGTGCCGCGCCAGATGCTACAGAGAAAGAAAGAGATGCTCTCTTTGGGGTCCTGAACCCAGATCTGTTGCCATCACACACCTCCCCAGCCTTGCAGAACCATCAAAGAGGAATATGTCACATCCAACTTACCCTCATTAATATGTGGAAACTTTCAGTCATCAAATGCTTAGTCTTTACCTTCTGGGTGACAAGTGTGTCCTACAATGTGCCTCCTCTCCAAATGTATGCTAAATTACAAAATTACCTCCAGGCAATGGAAGCGTTCCTATAAAAAGTAGTTAAGCATAGTCAAATGTGTGAGCAATACACATTCCAATGGCAAACTGGAATTCTGTGAGCTGCGCCTAGGGGATCTACTAAAATCGTTTACTGAAAATCGCTTTCCAGTTTTCAGGGGGAAAAAATGTGAAGAAATTTCCCAGCAAAAAGTTTCTCCCTCCATCATTTTTGTAGGGGTAGGAAAGGGGGTGGCTGTGCACTGGAAAAAGGTGCTTTGGAAAAAGAAAGGGCAAGGACTACCGTACAGAGAAAAGAGTGGTGGCAGACATTCATTCAGTGACTTTCATGGGGAGATTCTGTGCCACGGCGTTAATCCTCACAAAGCCTGTATTATTAAGGGCCCCATTTTCCAGATGAAGAAGGTGAGACAGAGAGAGGGTGGGCAATTTGCTCACCCAGCTTAAAGTGGCAGAGACAGTATCACAGTGAACTCAGGATTGCTGCTCTGAGCCCAGCACTTGGCTACTGTAGTACTGCGAACAGGCCTCTGTGCAAAGGCCGGGAGAGGACACACGCAGAAAAACGCCCTCGAATGGTGCCAGGAGCACCAGTCAAGTTGTTCTGATGTAACTTTTCGTTTGCTTGTCTCTCTCAGCAGAAAGGAGTTCTACAAAAGCTGAGACACATCTCTCTTGTTTCCAGTTTTATTCCCAGCACTTCATACCAGCTCCTGGATCCCAATGGGCCAGTGAGCAGTTTTCACTATGAGGGCTAACCTAGGAACTTGGGCAAGAAAGGCCTAATTTTTCTAGAACTCTAATTAAATATCAGTAACTAGTGTTAGGCCCTGACCGGTGTGGCTCAGTGGTCGGGCGTGACCCTACTAACCGAAAGGTCACAGGTTCCATTACTGGTCAGGGCACATGCCTGGGTTGCGGGCCTGGTCCCCAGCTGGGGGCATGAGAGAGGTAACCGGTCAATGTTTCTCTCTCACATCACTGTTTCTCTCCGTCTTTTTCTCCCTCCCCTTCCCTCTCTCTGAAAATAAATTTTAAAAATCTTAAAAAACAACACAAAAACTGCACTCCTGGTCAAGATGGCGGCATCAGCAGACATGGCTCACCTCCTCACAGAGCCACATCAGAATTACAACTGAAAGACAGAACCACCATAGCTCAGAACCATCAGAAATCGAACTGAATGGAAGTCTGACAACTACAGAATTAAAGAAACCACATCCACCCAGGCTGGTAGGAGGGGTGCAGACTTGGAATGGGCTGGTCCCACATCCGCATGTGGTGGATAAAAATTCAGGAGGGATATCTTGGGTGTGAGGTGTCCCAGCCCCACACCAGGCCCCCAGCCCAGGGTTCCAGTGCCAGGAAGATAAGTCCCCACAACTTCTGGCTACAAAAACCAGTGGGGAGCCCCAACCAGTTCTTCATAAAGAACATACACATGGACTTACTCATATTCAGTCCCTCTGAGCTCCAGCACTGGGGTAGCAGCTTTAGAAGCAACAGTGATATACAGCGGGAAACTGAAGTGTCTGGCATTAATGCAAGCAGAAGCCATTGTCCCTTTGCAAAACCTTCCCTTGCCTCAAATAAGCCATTGCTCAGATATGGTAAGCTGATGCCATACCTGAGACTCCATCAACCTGGCTAACAGTTTGACGTGCCTTGGAGATCCCCAGAGACTTCCCCCCACCCAACTTACAGGCCCACCCAAGCTGCTTTTCCTTAGGAATGGCTGATCTTGGCTCATGCTTCACAACTTCCTAGATCCTATTAAACAAGCAACTGCTGGCCTCAGTGAGCCCCAGGCCCAGCACCAGCAGCAGCCAGGTTAGATTCACAGCTTGGTTTTGCCTGGGAATTTCCAAGGCCAGTACAAGTAGCAGCCATCTCAGGTTGCTTTATAGCTCAGGCAGGGAGGTCCTGGGCAGAACACAGGAGAGGGCTGACCTTGGCCTGTACCACCCAGGAAACCCCAGAACCTGCGCACTCACTGGACAGCTACAGTCCACGTCGGGGCACCACCACCCTGTCCCTGCACCGCTGATTCTCCATAAACTGCGGGGGTTGGTAGTCAGTGGTCACAGCCAGTCCTTGCAGCTGATTGGCTTAGGTAAATCTCTTCCATTTATCTGCCAACAGCAACCAAGTCTCAACTACAGGAGGAGGGTGCACTCAGCCCACATGAAGGGTGCATCTCAAGGACCCAGCTTGGGTGATAGGACCCTAGAGGACACCTACTACATTAGGCTACACTACCAAGACACAGAGTCAAAGCAGCTTTACCTAATACATAGAAACAAACACAGGAAGGTTGCCAAAATGATGAGGCAAAGAAATGTGGCCCAAATAAAAGATCAAAACTCCAGAAAAAGAGCTAAACAAAATGGAGATGAGCAATCTATCAGATGCAGAGTTCAAAACACTTGTTATAAGAATGGTCAGGAACTTAGTGAGGACCACAACAGCATGAAAAAGATCCATTCAGAAATGAAGGATACACTAAGTGAAATAAAGAACAAGTTGTAGGGAAAAAATAGTAGAGTGGATAAAGATGAGAATCAATTCAATGATTGGAACATAAGGAATCAAAAAACAACCACACAGAACAACAAGGAGATAAAAGAATCCAAAAAGAATGAGGATAGTGTAAGCAGCCTCGGGGACAACTTCAAGCGGTCCAACATTTGCATCATAGAGGTGCCAGGAGGAGAAGAGAAAGAGCAAGAAATTGGCAATCTATCTGAAAAAACAGTGAAAGAAAACTTCTCTAATTTGGTGAAGGAAATAGACATGCTAATCCAGGAAGCACAGAGAGTCCCAAACATGATGAATGCAAAGAGGCCCACTCCAAGACACATCATAATTAAACTGTTAAAGATAAAGAGAGAATCTAAAAGCAATGAGAAAAGAAGTTAGTTACCAGATGAGAGGGGGTGGAGGAGAATGGGTGAAAAGGTCTGGAGATTAAGAAGTACAAATAGATAGTTACAGAATAGCCATGGGGATGTAGAGTACAATACAGGAAATGGAGTAGCCAAAGAACTTATTCACATGTCCCATGGACATGAACAATGGTGTGGGGATTGCCTGAGAGAGTAGGGGGTACTGGGTGGAGGGAGGCAAAGGGGGAAAAGTCAGAAAAATTATAATAGCATAATCAATAAGATATTAAAATAAATAAATTAATTAAAAAATAACTACTGTTTAAAGTGGAGGATAAGAATAGGGTAAGCCATCCAGAATGTACTCCTCAGGGTCAGATACCAAGGAAGAAAATATCATTCCTAAAAACTTCAAAACAAAAATCATAGTTTGTTTAGAGTTTTAAATCCTTGCCAAAACCCTTGAGAAACACATAACTGAATTTATAACACAGACAACTAAACTATGTAATTTATGTCATCAATTTCCTTCAGGTTCTTACTATGATTAATAAGTACTTTGAGCTCCCTGTGAATTCTACAGGAATACTGAATACTGAATTCCTGAATACTGCAGGAAATCTGGAAGCAAAATGGTGATGTAGGAACTTCCAGCTTTCTCTCCTTGGGTCATGGCAAAGAAAGTGGGACCCAAGATTGTGCCAGCAGTCAAAGCCAAGAACCTGGTATATTGTATTTTGTATGTGTCAGCTAGGGTATAGAAGTAGGAAAATAGTGTTCCATTTCATACTACTATACATTCACTGATATTAATATACATATTGCACAAACATACTTAGAGTATAGCCCTGTAAGCTTTTGGGGGGCAGATGTTATCACATTTCATCCTCATAGTCTCAGCAAATAACAAAGTCCTCAGAGCCAGTGATCAGTGAGAGTTCATTGACTTACTGATGCAACAGTAACACAGCAGTTGTCATGAGAGTACCAAAAATGCCTAAACTATGGTTCCTGAGTGCCTCTCAGTTATGCAGCCTCTACATTGGTATGACAATTTCAAGTTCCTTTAACCCAATTAATGCTTCAATGCTACTCCTCTATTCATTACTGGGCTCGAGTAGGGCTCAGTGACTTGAAGCTGTTTGTTTCATTAAATGAATGAAAACAAAGTTTATATTTTGCAGTTGTGCCAAATACAGATACCATCTGTACTCTTCAAGTTCTTTTT